TTCTAACAAATTATTTCTCCCACAGAACTATAATCATACAGTATAAATATATGGTGGAAAAATACACATCACTATTTTATTGATTATATAAGAAAACAATTATTGCCGGGCGTTGGTGGTGCACGCCTTTAATCCCAGCACTGGGGAGGCAGAGGCAGGCGGATCTCTGTGAGTTCGAGACCAAGCGAGTTCCAGGATGGCCTCCAAAGCCACAGAGAAACCCTGTCTCGGAAAAAAAAAAAAAACCAAAAAAAAAAAAAAAAAAAGAAAGAAAGAAAACAATTATCAAGTGCCCTATTACTAAGTTACATGCTATGGGATATCTGCTCAGTTCATTTGCAGAATCAACCAACCCCTTCTCTCCCCTCCCCTCCCCTCCCTCCCCTCCCCTCCCCTCCCTCCCCTCCCCTCCCCTCCCTCCCTCCCTCCCTCCCCCCCTCTCTCTTTCTTTCTTTCTTTCTTGAGGTTAGTGAAGGAGGGGAAATCATAATTCAAACAACTAAGAAGTTGGAAAACAACTTCTGATAGTATGGAAAAATTTACAAGAATTTTACATGTTTTGATTAAGAATTGTTGCTGGATGGGTGGTGGCACACGCTTTTAATCCCAGCACTAGGCAGGCAGAGGCATGCTGATCTCTGAGTTTGAAGCCAGTCTGGTCACTGAATGAGTTCTAGGACAGCCAGGGCTACACGGGGAATCCCTGTCTTGAAGAACCAAGACAAACAAACCAAAACAAACAAAAAACCCAAAACTACAACAAAACAATTTAGCTTCAGATGTCTATGAATCATGACAACACCAGCATGGTATGATGACCCTAGGGTGCAGTAATGGTGTACATTTCTTGATGGTAACCAACAACACTTAATTGTGCTTAAGACCAACTCAACAATAGGAAACTCATGTCTAGTACTGGAAACCTAACTAACTGCTCAGGGCTAGTGAAATCATGGTTCTTTGAGAAGAACCTAAACCCCCACTGTGCTAAACCAGCAAAATCCCTAAATATCCTAAGTATTTGTCCTTACTCAGACTGGCCTTGCCAAGTCCACTCCTGGACAAGGATTCAGAACTAACTTTCCCTTTTTGTCCTTTCATCAGGGTTTCTGAGAAAGTCTTGGGTCAGTCTGACACCCAATAGTTATCCAATACCAAACAGTCATACAAGCAATATATACAGACCAAGCTTAGAGAGAGGAAAGGGAAGAGGGAAATGATGTAATTTTATTATAGTCTTAAAAAAATAAAATAATTTAGCTACATGCCATTTCTACCTTTAAAAATATTTACTAAATTGAAGAGCATTTCTGCGTGATCTGCACAAGACAAAGACAACTGTCTTAGGGTTTCTGTTGCTATGAAGAGACACCGTGACCACAGCAACTCTAAGAAGGAAACATGTAATTGGGCTGACTGTAGTTCAGGGTCCAGTCCATTACCATCATGGTGGGGAGCGTGGCGGCAAGCAGGCAGACATGGTACTGGACAGGCAGCTGAGCGTTCTGCATCTGAATCAGCAGTCAGCAGGGAGAGAGACACTGGGGTTGACTTGAGCATCTGAAACCTCACAGCGAACCCCCAGTGACACACTTCCTCCAACAGGGCCACACCTCCTAACAGTGCCCTCCTGTGGGTATATGGGGACCGTTCATATGGGGACCGTTCTCATTCAAACACCACAGCATTTAGTAAACATCTCAAAGCCCTCTCCCAGTCTGAGTGCAAACATATCATTTGGCTTCTTTTTTTCCCTCCACTCCCTTGAGACAAGGTCTCACCATGTAGTTCTTGCTACCTTGGGACTCTCTTTGTAGATCAGGCTGGCCTTGAACTTATAGAGAGCTACCTACCTCTACCTCCCAAGTGCTAGGATTAAAGGGATGTGCTACCATGCCCAGAACTATATAGGCGTTTTGTTTGGAGACATTGCTGAAGATATGTGCTTCCATAACAAAGTAGATTTTCAGAATGGAGGTTTTCAATAACAACACAGAATAAGACATAGAAAAATCACTAAATAATCATAAAACTTGCTTTAAAGTTATCAGTGGCTGGACAAGGCTGGTGTGTGTATTGCGAGTGAGAGATGGGAACCTAGATTGGTAATGAAGAGCAGCCCTGCAGTGTTTGAAATGACTGAGAAATAAAACGCAGACGCCCTAGGGTGTTGTCAGTTCCTGGTGTGATGCAAATAACATGGGAGTGTTGTGCTGGGTGCTCTGGTGCCTGTCTTTCTAAACTTCATACGTGTTGATAAGGTTCTGACACAATGGCACACTTACAGATGTACCTCAGAACAGCGTGGCTTTAGAAAAGGTCAGGTAATAAAAGGAATAGGCACAGTTTGTATGTTGAACAGCAGATACCTTTTGCTAAGTGTCTAAATAGGTGGGTCACAACCTAAACAGAGGTTGCAGTCCAGCCAAGCTTGTGGCTGGTAAAATTGCATTTCAGCATTTCTGTGAAAGCTTCAGGAGACTGTTTACCAGGCTGACACATTGGCTAATTATGCACAACAGAGTAGGTCTTACCTGAAGGTCCACTTTAGGGCAGTGGACCTGATAACCCAGGTTTATTGAAACAATAGTTACATCTGTGACCATTGAAATCTTTGAAGGATAGTGCTTTTTCCAGTTTCAAAAATTGCTTGCTGTTAAAAGCTGTACACTGCTTTCGTTACGAATTGTACTATACTTGCATCTTCATATTTCATTCTCCCTTCAATGAATGCTAGGCCAAAAAGCACTGGAGCTCTCCCAAGGTCTGCAATATAGTGGACCACAGTAAAGCATCCAGCCTTTGCACGAAGTCATCAACAATCTAGCTGGGTGGTATCATCCAAAGGCCAACCAAGAGCATGATTATCTTTCTCACAAGAGTAGTATCATAAGTTGTTCTACATACTCTTACTATTGTGGTGACACCACACACACACACATGGTTTGTCTTTTGAGACAGGGTCTCAGTATATAGCCCTGGCAAGCCTGGCACTTGCAGTGTAGACCAGGATGGCTCAAGTCCATAGAGTTCTGCCTGCCCTTTTGCACCACGCCAGGTCAACACTGCACATAAATTCTTCTATAAATTTGTTTAAGGTCACGTAGGTTTGATTGTAAGTTCAGCAGTTCATTCAAGTCATGTTAATTTCGTTTAACCAAACAAAAAACAGAAAACCTCCAGCAGGGTTATGAAAGAAGAATTTAAAAATCAAATGCAGAAGTGATGTAGAAAAAACTAAACCCACCCCTGAAATCTACGTCAATATTCAATGCATTGTAGTTGAGATTCTCAGTGCTTGGAGTGTGCAGTCAGAAGACGTGGGAGATGAAAGGAATCTCCTAACAGGAAACAGTGATTTCAGTCCAGTTACACTGAAGCATTACAAAGGAAGTGCATGGGGTTTACCTTGTAAAACGCTGTGTCCAGGTTATCCATACGCCTGGGGGCTTCTTGGTGGAGTAGCGATGAATTCTACAGCTGCTTGTCTCCATAGAGGTCGTGCTCTGCCCACCGGTAATCTCCACTGCTTCCGGAAACTGTGAGACAAGTTCACCACAGAAAAGGAGCATGTATATTTACTCAGTGACCACAGCCTGTCCCGAGTGCTGCAGGAGGTGACAGAAGCTAGACAGCCTTCCTTTTAAGTGGGTGATTATACAGTGTACAGTGCTAACTGAGGCGGTGCTGTAAGAGACCATAGTTAAGACTTAGAATGTGGTTTATAGTTACAGGACGCGCTGCCAAGGACCCTTTATATAAGAAAACACATTATCAAGTGCCCTATTACTAACTAAACTACATTATCTTCCTCATGCTGTGGTGACCCCCAGCCATAAAATTATTTTGTTGCTATTTCATAACTGCAATTATGCTAGTGTCATGAGCTGTCATGTAAATATATGACATGCAGGATATCTAATAAGTGACTCCTGTGAAAAGGTTATTCAATTCCCAAGGGGTTGAGACTCACAGGTTGAGGACCACTGCTGTGGCACCTAGGGGTCTGAACTTGTAGTTTAACTATATAAGTTTTGAATTTATTAAGTACATTCCTATGTGTTTTTATTTTTATGCTATTGACAGTAAAATTAATTTCTTTTTCATATTATTGTTTGTTAGTGTGTACAAATAGAATTGACTAGAAATGAGTAAAAACAACTGAAACAAAAATAAGGGAACAGCTGATGTTGGTATTCTAACTGTGCTTAAGGGGGTTGACTATTGGGACTGCATTTTATGTTTGTGCTGAGGTGTTGCTGTGGGTTTTATTCTCTAATCCATTAATGCATTTTGTTGTGTTGGTTCTTGTGTATTGAACCTACCTTGTTTCTATTGAATATATCTCATCTGTTCATGACATATAATCCTTTAAAAATTGAAAAAAATATTAATTTTGTTTATGAGTGTTATTTTTTCCAGCATATTTTCTGTGTTCTGTGTGTCACGTTTTCTTTTTCCTCATTTTCTCCCTTGTTACCTTTTCTTGTATGTTTTGTAGTGTGCTGTTTTAAGTTTTTGTCCCCTTTGCTCTATTTTAGATCCACTTTTTGGTGCTTCATCTGGGATTACTAGTTGGGTTGATACCAACCTACATTCAAGAGTTTACACAAACTTATATAATTATATCTTCCCCTCTGCTTACAAGTATACAACTTGTATTAAATAGTTTATGCTCAGGAGCACTTCTAGTTATCCTTTATATAATATTCTTTAAATTAAAAGCAGAGATTAGTATGGCAGGAAGACTGCATGTCATTTGAAATGCCTGATTACAAAATGACACCTGGGAACTGAGGTTGAGGAAGTTGTGGGAAAGGCTCTTTGTGGCTAAGCTCTTTATGCAGACAGTATGTTTGCTGGTGATCACCTGCTTTTTTGGATACTAGAAGTTTAATGTGTTAGGGAAGAGTACCTACACGGTCAGGTCCTAATGTTAGGTATATACCAGGTTGCCTCTCCTGGTTTTTATTAATTAACGTGTTTGTCTTCTTTTTAAGGCAATAAAGAATGTTGATGGGAGAACCATTTTCTTAATTTGCAAATTATTAAGCTGGTCGTCATAATGGGTAAGTTTAAGTTAAAAGCATTTTAAAAATAATTATAACTTAAAGAATGCAATGAGGGAGAAATAAACATTTTATTTAGACATTTATGATATAGTAGATTTATATCTGTGATACAGGAGATTTAGCTAACATTTTATGTAATGGATTTTTAGGGCTTAGGGAGAGGTAGAATGCTTGAATAATTAGCATATGTGAGGCCCTGCATTCCATCACAGGTGCCACCAGAACCAAAGCTAAGCAAAGCAGTTTTGAGTAGAAGTGCTTTCTATATTGTTTTGGAATGACCATTTGCTTCAGAACCAAGTAGAGATGTTCAAAGGAACTGCTCAGATTTGTTTAGAAAATTAACAGATAGTAAGAAAAAAAATCACACTTCATAATTGAAGAAACCACAAAAAATGGGAATCTCCAGTACTTAAATTTTTTATTGAGGATGTTAATATATGATGAATATGTATATAATCTATCAAATTCAGTATTCCTTTTTGTTTATTTTGTTGTTGCTGGTTTTTTTTTTTTTTGAGACAGGAGACAGGGTTTCTCTGTGTAGCGCCCCCGGCTGTTCTAGGACTCTCTTTGTAGACCAGGCTATCCTCAAATTCAGGGATCCTTCTGCCTCTGTCTCCCAAGTACTGGGATTAAAGGTTTGTGCCCCCATGCCCAGCTCAAATTCAGTGTTCCTAATAAAAGGTTTTTGAGATTCCTTCCCAAGCCTTTTCTGTTTTTATGCTCAATTGAGTGTCCTTTTAGCAGGTGCCAACCATCTGCTTCATTTTTTGCCTGTGCTTAATCTGTGATCCTCACTTCCTGTTGGATCAATCCGTGACCCTTCTGACACCTGTTATCTGTCTCATTTCCTGGCATCCCATGGCTGTCAAGGGCATTCCTAACTAGAGTTGTAAAACAGCCCCTTTCTAGTGAGTGTACACTGTTTGATATTTTGTGGGACTGTTAACTCTCTTCTGTCTTGTCAGTATCTGCGAAGTTTCTACCTCGGTGTCACTTTCTAAGACCTGAACTTTTGTTAAATATGATAAAAGTATTCATTTTTCCCTTCCTTCCTTCCTTCCTTCCTTCCTTCCTTCCTTCCTTCCTTCCTTCCTCCCTCCCTCCCTCCCTCCCTGCCTCCCTCCCTCCCTCCCTCCCCCTCCCTCCCTCCCTCCCTCCCTCCCTCCCTCCCTCCCTCCCTCCTTCCTTCCTTCCTTCCTTCCTTCCTTCCTTCCTTCCTTCCTTCCTTCCTTCCTTCCTTCCGCAGGATTTCTCTGTAGCTTTAGAGCCTGTCTTGGAACTCCCTCTGTGGACCACAAAGATCTGTCTGCCTTCCTCTGCCTCAGAGCTATGTACTGCCACCAGTGGGCTTTGTTTTTCTTAACATGGAAATAAATATATGTAGCCGTGAAAAGACATTTGAACAAAAGCTTTCTTAGGTATTTGTTAATTTGGACACTGATACTAAGTATATGAAAATGCCTAAATTCTAGTGCTAAAATTTTTTCTAGCAAAAATAATCAGAACAAGATAGGTACATTTAAGTACTAGATTCTCATTCCAGTGTGTAATTAAGGATCCTAACACCTCCCCACCCCGATACAGGATTTCTCTGTGTAGTCCTGGGACTAACTCTGTAGACCAGGCTGGCCTCAAATTCACGGAGATCCTACTGCCTCTACCTCGCAAGTGCTGGGATTAAAGGCGTGCATCACCACACCCAGCTGGATCCTAACATTTTTAAAAATGTCACATCGAGTGATTTTACTCCTTTGGGATCAGCCAGAGCTTATTCAGACTTACTTCGAGTTTCCATGGTCACCCCACACACGTGGCACACATAAACTCAGGTAGGTACACACACACATCTTAAGTTTTTTTCTCTTGGAGCCTGTGAAATGGCTGTGTAGGTAAAGTCACATACACTCAAGCGTGACAACCTGAATTTGAGTCTCTGGACTCTTACAGGAAAGAAGAGAACCAGTTTCTACAAGTTGACCTCTGACCTCCACACAAGCACTGTGGTGCACCCCCATAAGTAAATAAATGTAATTAAAGTTTTTCTCTTATCCTAGAATTTATTACGAAAGTATTACAGACTTTACTTAATTATTAGTGTGTATATGCATTTATATGTACACACCTTAATTTATAAACTATTGAATATTAACATCAATGAAGCATATATTTTAGCTGTTTACACAGTCAAATGGCTGTTGAAACTATTGAATTACTAGAAGAGGATTTATTTCTTTTTGGTTTTTTCAAGACAGGTTTTCTTTGTATCGCCCTGGCATCCTGGAACGATCTCTGTAGACCAGGTTGTTGGCCTTGAACTCAAAGAGATCCTCCTGCCTCTGCCTCAGAGCACTAAAATTAAAGGTGTGGGCCACCACTGCCCAGCTAGATTATTTTTAATGATTTCCTTTACAGAAAAATTTTTGTTATTATTACTCCAGGAATATATATATGTTAATTGTAAAGACCTTTGATTCTTTTATTTACCTGTTTATAATCATTAGTAGAGTGGTCCACTAGCATCCATCCATCTATCTATTTTTGAGGCAGGGCTACTCTGTGTGTAGCTTTGGTTGTCTGGCTGTCCTGGAACTCACAGAGATCTGTCTGCCTCTACTTCCCAAGTACTGAGATTAAAGGCGTGCGCCACCACTGCCTGGATGGACTCTGTTTTCTGAGGAATGGATTTTTTTTAATTTTTACTTTTAATTAAGCATGTTTTGTGTATGAGTGTTTTGCCTGCTCATATTGTCTGTTGCACCATATCTATGCTGAGGGAGGCTGAGGCATTATCTGGAACTGGAGTTAACAGACAGTTGTGAGCTGCCATGTGGATCTGGTAATTGAGTCTGGGTTCTCTGGAAGAGCATCCAGTGCTCTGAACCACTGAGTACGGTCTCTCCAGCCTGATAAATTATTTGGGGGGGGAGAGACAGGGTTTCTTTGTATTGTTTTGGAGGCTGTCCTGGAACTCTCTCTGTAGATCAGACTGGCCTCGAACTCAACAGAGATCCACCTACCTCTGCCTCCCAAGTGCTGGAATTAAAGGCGTGAGCCATCATCGTCTTGGGAAGAACTTTGAGAGAACCCTTCAGAGTATTAGTAGGCAGTGTCCACAGAGGGAGCTTTTTTGTTGTTCCTCTAAGCATCAGTAACAGGAATTATCTCTAAAGTGAAGTTTGTGTTTTTAATATAAATGCTAAAGGAAGATGATATTTATACAAGGTTTTCTTTTTCTTTTTCTCTTCTTTATTAAGGTTTTTGATGTGTGATGTTTTGTTTGGGAGTCATAGAAAAGAATTTGTTCTGGCTGAACTGTTTTGACTCAGGGTGTTAAGTCACTAAACGAATTAGAATGACATTTACTTCCTTTATAAATGTCTTACGTGTAGGACTTAGAGAGAAGAGAGCTCATACTGTGAAGATCACATACTGCCCTTCCAGAGGACCTGAGTTCTATTCCCAGCACCTACATTAGATTGCTCACACCACCTGTAACTCCAGTTCTAGGGGATCTGACACCTCTGACCTCTGTGGGCATCTGCACTCATATACTCTTACCACATACAAGCACATGCATACATTTAAAAATAATAAAAATAGTGTAAAATAAAAATATTTAAAACAAAATTAAATGTCTCCTGTGTGAACCCAATTTATGTTGAGTCTGAGTCTTGCGCAGTTTGGTGTTAGTTGTTCTCAGGGGTGATTTTTTTGTATTACCTTGCAACACACATTTTGTTTTCTAAAAAGAGGCAGGTGGATCTCTGTAAGTTCAAAGCCAGCCTGGTAATACATAGGACAGCCAATGTTACATAGAGAGACCCTGTCTCCAGCAGCAATAACAACAGATTTATTTAAAAGTATGTGCCATATGTGTGTGGGTGCCTTTGAAGTCCAGAAGAGGGGACAGGAGTCTCTGGAATTGGAGTCACTGGTGGTTGTAAGCTGTGTGAGCGTGAGTGCTGGGAACTAAACTTGGGTCTTCTGAAAGAGACGCAAGCACTCATAACTGCTGAGCCATTTCTCCTGTCCAGCTAATTCATTTTGTCTATGATAGATAGATAGATAGATAGATAAATAAATAAATAAATGTTGTGTTTGTGCTCTTTTAAAAACACGCAGATGACCAGCAAGCTTTGAACTCCATCATGCAAGATCTGGCTGTCCTTCACAAAGCTAGCCGGCCAGCACCGTCTCTGCAAGAGACCAGAAAACCAGGGCCTTCATCGCCAAAAACCCAGGTATTTACTTAGTGAAACTTTGAAGACTTCATTTCATTATTTTAAAATTATGTGTATTTGTGTGTTATGTGAATTTGTGCATGAAATTGTACTGGATCTCCCTAGAGCTGGGCTGATCGGTGGTTGTGAGCTGCTTGATGTGGGTGTTAGAAACTGAACTTAAGTCCTCTGCATGAGCCATTTTTCTAGTCCATCTGTCATTAATATTTTAGTAAGTATGTTTTGTTGTTCTGTGAATTAATTTCATTTCACAGCCTGATTTTGTAAGGATTACTTATAAACTTTGAATTAAATGTTGTGTTTAGCACATCTTCTGAGGTTTTGTATTTTAGTTTTGTATTTATATTTAGTATGTGATAAAATACTGTGTGTAGGTAGAATATTGAAGAAATAGTAACAAGAAAAAAATGAATACAGTTTTAAAAGCTATGTGATAACTACTTAAGTTACTGTTTTATCCGTTCTTCAAGCATCTAAGACAATTTCTTCTGTTGGTTTTCCCCAGAAGTCTTTTCAGGATACTCAGCAATGTGGTGATTTTGATTCCTATAAACAAGATTAGTAGGAGACAGAAAGTATGGAAAGTAGAAATACTAGAGTTCTCCCTTATGTTTTTCCCTCCCATAGTTTCAGTTACTCATGGTCAGCTTAGGTCAGAAAATAACACATGGAATGTTATAGATATAAGCATAAGACATACGTTTTAAATTTCATGCTATTTGAAGAAACAAAATGCAATATCACACTATCCTGCTTTACTCTGCTTGGACATGAATTAAATCTCTGTGTGTTGTATCCATGTTGTATATGCTACTTGTCTGTTTGCTACTTAGAAGCTATTTAAATTGTGAAATCAACTACCGAAATACTGACAATTTGAATGTGCACCAAAGAAGCTTTAAGGTAGTACTTCCTTTAAGAGAAAAGGAGCAAGTTCTGAACTTCATAAGGAAAAACAAGCAAACAACAAACATGTGTTCAGAGGCCTGGAAGCGCACAGGTGGAGAAGGCCTGCAGCACCGCGTTCAGTGTGTGCTTAAGCCGGCCGGGTCATCTGAGTGAGCACAAGAGCTTTGATGCCCTCTTCTGCTGTCAGTCTGACACTGTAATTCTCAGCTCAGGGCTTTGGTAGACATCAGGAGATTGGAATTACACCTTGAAAATGAAACCTCCCTCTCTTCTGCTCTGTGTTAATGAGTAAGCTAAGGAAAAAAATGACTTACAAATTTATCTGGTCTTTGCATGATTATGACTGATATCTTCATTTTATTATAGAATGATGTCCGAGTTAAATTTGAACATAGAGGAGAAAAAAGGTAAGTAAGGAAACATTACACATCAGTTAAATTATATAATAAAATGTGTATTCCAATTAGGCTGTTAAAGATTCTTTTTAGATTTGAATGAAGTTGTGTGGTTTTGAAGTTAGAGACGGAATAGTCTTTGGTAGTGTGTGACATTCACCTACACTGAAGAGCGGGAGAACCTGTCAAATGCCTGCCAACCCTCGGAAACACTGAATGTGCTTGCTTTGCTGTGTCAGGACGTACATAAGATCATCTCATAATACACACTTCAAGATTTTACTGTGTACTTTTATTTTTACTGAGTAAGATCCTTGATTTCCCTCAGTGCTGTAGCATGTATTTTGTTACTAATGTTGTACAAGTGAGTTGGAATGGGGGCTTGCAGGCTTTGTACTTAGCAGGATGTAAGCGTAGCCTTCTCTGTACCTCAGGGCCGAATAGCTGACAAAAGATCTAATAGGAGTTACTAGAAGATAACATTTTTTTGTTGTTCTTGTTAGTGACTCGTTATGTTAATGAAGGCCTGTTAGTCTTAAGAAAATTAAGATGGCTCACAAGTCATAACTCAAAGATAAGAACATAATTTACCAGAGACAGTAAAAAAAGAAAAGTGTGCCTGACACGTTTGAAGTTATTTTCTGGGTATTTGCTAGCTTTTCTTTCCCTCAGCTCTGCACTGAGTGTGTGATCGGCCCCAAGGTTGTGTAAAGTGAGCACGGAAGTAGCATCTTCCTGAGAGGCTGACAATTCTAACGCGGTGCTCTGTAGACTTAGTGTGTGCTCCAGCCGGCCAGGCCTTAGGAATAGAAGAAGCAAATTATCTCTTTAAGATGTCTTAGAGATGCTTATATAGTGTATGTGCTAAAATGTTGGATTAATAAGGATCCAGAAGTCAAAATTTGATGTCCACAGGATGGATAACTTATTATTCTTAATGGTTTCATTGCATTCTGTTAACACATGTCACATAATTAAATTCAAACACTTTCCTAAGTAGACGCTTTACACTGGTCTTTAATATTTATGTGATTATGAATTTAAAACTGAGAATCTTCTTTTAAAATTCTAGTTAGCATAGAAAAATTTTAGTGGTTCTATTCTAAATTTTGTATTGAAATTTTTTGTGTTTTATTAAAAGTGTGTTATAATTTTTACTTTTTTTTTTGTTTTTTTGTTTTTTTGTTTTTTCGAGACAGGGTTTCTCTGTATTGTTTCGGAGGCTATCGGTCCAGCCCAGCCTCGAACTCACAGAGATCCGCCTGCCTCTGCCTCCCGAGTGCTGGGATTAAAGGCGTGCGCCACCAACGCCCGGCCAATTTTTACTTCTTAAATTGGTTTTTCAAGGTAGGGTTTCTCTGTGTATTCTTGTGTCTTTTGGAACTCATTTTGTAGATCAAGTTGACCTTGAATTCATGGAGATACACCTGCCTATGTCTCCCAAGTGCTGGAATTAAAGGCATGGGCCACCACTGCCCAGCTTTTTTTTTTTTTTTAATTTATTTTTATGTGCATTGGTGTTTTGTCTGCATGTATGTCTGTGTGAGGGTATTCGATCCCCTGGAACTGGAATTACAAACAGTTGTGAGCTGTCATGTGGGTGCTGGGAATTGAACCCAGGTCCTTCAGTGCTCTTAACTGCTGAGGCATCTCTCCAGCCCTTAATTTTTTCACATAACAAAACAGAACTGTTGTAAGTGTATTGTTTATGGCAAACAAAATAAAATATTTTAAAATTACTTTCATGTAGAATCCTGCAGGTTACCAGACCAGTTAAACTAGAAGATCTGAGGTCTAAGTCTAAAGTTGCCTTTGGGCAGTCTATGGATCTACACTATACCAACAACGAGGTAAATGTGTGCCATTTCACTTTTGATGGTCTTTATTCTGGAAAATTAATGTGTTCATGTAAGAGATTGTGTTTTTATTTGGTGGCTAGTTAGTAAAAGAGTGATACATTGGATGAGTGAAAATGTGATGTGTTTATAAATCTTACCCTATTAAATGGAGGTGCTACTAGGCAAATAACTGAGTAAGAATTTGCATTAGGAGGGACAGGCACCGCCTTGTCATTCTCTGCTTTCCCTTTCACTCTGTGTGCTCAGCGAACTTACTTTCCTTGGCCCATAGAGCTTTTGGAGTCAGACAACTTCATTAAAAATTAGGATCATCGTGATATTGGTTAGGGTGCCTTTTTATTCCTGTATTTTTTTATATTTTTATTCATTTGTATGTGTATTGGTGTTTTGTCTGTATGCATGGCAGTGTGAGGGTACCAGATTCCTGGAACTGGAGTTAAAGACAGCTGTGAGCTGCCATGTGGATGCTAGGAATTGAACTGGGGTCCTCTGGAAGAGCAGCCAGTGCTCTTAACCTCTGAGCTGTCTCTCCAGCCCCCATTCCTATATTATATTTGGGGTCAGTACATAGGTCTTGAGGGCTCACTATGTTTTCAGAAAACCCTTTTTAATCTTGAAATTAGAATTGTATTAGATGATAACTGAACTGACTTTCTGTTTGTGAGATCTTAAAATTTTAGTTAATTGTTTTAATCATTGGAAAATGCTTCTTATTGGCCTAATGCTATAATGAGTTGCAGCCTGTTATAGGATAGGCACTACAGATTTGTAGAAGGAGCAGACTGTAGATGAGTTGAAGGTGTTTGAAGGAAATGCATAAAGTCTTGTGAAAAGTCAGATCAGGGAGTGGTGGTGCATGCTTTGATCCCAAGACTTGGGAGGTAGGGCAGGTTGGAGGCCGAGGCTGGCATGGTGAGTTCCAAACAAAAAAGTCAGTGAGTGTCCTCATTATGCTATTAAGGGAAAACCAGGTGAGGTAACATTATACTGAGACTTTAGTATTTAAAGTCAGCCTTACAGAGAGTTTCAAGGGAAGGATGGAAGAGGGAGCAGCTGGAGAACAGTGAATAGACAGTGTACCAGTGTGTGTGGGAGTAACAAGGGAAGTCATAGTAAAACTTCATCTAAGAAAGTCCATGAAGCCTGCGCAAATAAGATCCTTCAAAATAGCTCAGAGATGAAAATACTCTAAAACATGACGACACTGGGTTTACCATAAAGAGCATAGTCTGATTGCTTAGGTACAACATAGACTCTTTCTCTGCTGAATACAAGACAGTTCATTGCTCTAGGAGCTCCAGGGTGTGCAGCAACACCAGCCAACCTGTGTCAGCCCCTTCTGCCTGCCCGCATCAGCCTAACAGACACAGAGCCGCAGCAGGACCTGCATGAGAATCCCAAGAACAGGCTCTCTGAACAGAGTAGTAAACACTGTCCTATAGCAATATCTTAAAATACTATTTTTCAAGGAATTTGGGGTTTTAGTTACTCCTAAGTGTATGTCCTACCCAGTCTCTTCTGGGTACTGTATGGTATGTACATGCTGGAGGTTTCCAGCAGCTAGCCTGGGTTCTCACTGTAGACACGGGGTGAATCAGATGACTAACTGTCCTAAAGGGGCAGCTCTCTGGATAATGGACTTTTCTTGCCCCTCCTCGTTGCTCCCAGTCCCTGCCTGACTCTTTTCTCATACAGATAGCTTGACCTTGAATCATTGTCTAAGGTGTTTCTCAGGGAACAGACACCCCTCTCCCTCCCAGGGTGTTGTGTGAGTAGTAGACATGAGGCTGAGGTGGTGACACAGGCTAGCTGCACATGGACATGCACTGAAGACAGCTGTCAGCACGGTAGAAGACAGTTCACATCAGTCCTGCCTTAGCTTTACACGGGAACTGCTCTTTTCTGTGATTAATTGAGCTTTTTAGGGGAGACAGAATCAAATCTTGCTGTGTAACCTCGGCTGGCCCAGCACTCACTGTATAGCCTAGGATGACCTTAAACTTCTGCCAGTCTTAAAGAAAAGGCATTGTTGCCGGGTGGTGGTGGCGCACGCCTTTAATCCCAGCACTCGGGAGGCAGAGGCAGGCGGATCTCTGTGAGTTCGAGACCAGGCTGGATCGACAGCCTCCAAAACAATACAGAGAAACCCTGTCTCGTAAAAACAAAAACAAAAAACAAAGGCATTGTTGTCATAAAACCCTGCCGAGGGTGGTGACATATTGTAGTAGTCCTGGTTTGGGCGCACTCGACTGCTCGCCCTTTGGTGTGCACTGAGAGCAGTCGCTAAGGGCTGGAAGGGAGCCTGTCCGGGGTTCATGCTGCCGAGGACTCTCCGCTAAGTAGACTTCACATTTAAATACGTTTCGCCTGCTTTGCTCTTTAGAGACAGTGAGTAAGTGTGACATATGTGCACTCGTTTTTACTGTGCCCCTCTTCCACTGAAATGATACACACTTTTCTGTCATTGGCAGTCTTCTTAAACCGCAAGATATTTTTTTATTTAAAAAAATAAAATCTTTTGATTTTTGTAAATTACGTGAGTCATACTTTTTTTCATAGACCTCCTGGGTGCTTTTGTCCTTTATAATGTCTTAGCCATGAGAGAGTCCTGATGATGTAGGTTTCACACTGAGGTTTCCTGAGAGGATTGCTCAGTTAGCTCACGTGTCCAGGGTGTAGAGGTCAGCCACCAGGGTCAGAGGTGAATGCAGAGCTGTAGATTGCTGGCATGTGGCTGACGGTGCCTTCCCATGGCAGCTGTCACTGATGCTCAGCGTGTTATGTTGTAAACTCCAGGCGGGGTGTAAGTCTGTGCTTGCTACTAGAAAAAGAACTAAGAATTTTATTTGTGCAAATGAAAAGTAGTATTTTATATAATTTGAGTGTGTACCCTTCAGTGTGCTTAGGCATGAATATAGTTACTATACCTTAAATTTAGCAATGTTGTAAATATCATAGAAAATCAATTTTTAGATATATTTACTGGAAGAGTGTAATGATTAATAAGGAAAACATTTTAGGGCTCTACATTTGTTCTGAGGCTTTGGTGGTTAGTGGTGTGGATTAGAGGACAGAGATGCACATACTCCTTAGACTGTTATTGCAGGAGTGCTTGTGTGAGTTTGACCTTGTGTGATGTCTCTCTTTATTCAGTTGGTAATTCCGTTAACTACCCAAGATGACTTAGACAAAGCTGTGGAGCTGCTGGATCGGAGTGTTCACATGAAGAGTCTCAAGATATTGCTTGTCATAAATGGAAACACACAGGTATGCACTGGGCTGTATTTCTCAGATTGTAGTCATTTAGTGTATTTTAGTTTATAAATGTGAATTTATATAGTTTGCATTGCTGTAGCTTAATATGCTTGCTCCTCAAAACTATATAGTCAAGAATCACAAATACGAATGTATATACATGTGAAACAAACAGAAACTGGCAACTTGGGGAAAATGATGTTAGAATGAAATGTCCATTTTGTATTTTTACTTTTACATTAATTTTGTGTGGATAGGGTGAGGTGTACACATGCCACAGGCACATGTATGAAGATCAGTTCTCTTCTTCACGCGGGTTGGCTCTGGGTTTGAAGTTGTGTCATCAGGGTTGACAGCAAGCACCCTTACTGCTAAGTCATCTTACTGGCCTCATCTTCTCCCTTCTTCTCCCTGCTTCAGCCTCCCTCCCCCCCCCCCCCATCTCCTGCCCGTGGCTCTCCATCTAGCTGGGTGGTAGGCTTGTGCTACTCTTCTGGTAGATTAAAGTTTGTAAGAGTAGATTTGAAAAGGCCCAACAAGAATGGAGAACGGCTAGGTTGTGTTTTAGTAAGAGAAGGGGTCTGTTGAAAGCCCCAAATGGAAAGAATAGCATTAAGTGCCCCTTTCTCTTCTAGGCTACTAATTTAGAACCATCACCATCATCAGAAGATTTGAATAACACACAACTTGGTGCAGAGAGGAAAAAGCGGCTGTCTGTAGCAGGTGAGAAAGCCGGGGTCTGGATAAGGAAGTGAGTGATTTCTCAAATCCTTGTCTCTTTAATGGAAGGTAACATGGAATACAGCCTGATGAATAGCACCCCGTCTGTATGCTCTCTGCAATCATATACTTTAACTACTTTGTCTTAGCTGTTGTTTCTGAGAAATTAATTTCTCAGAATTATAGGACTAGCGATATCCAATTTAAAGCTTTTGTTTATACACAGTATTTTAATACTTAAGAATTCAAATAAAATCTTGAAGAGGTTTTAATGATATGAGTAGAGAGGGAAAGTAACTGTAAGATATTAAAATGAGTAGACTGAACTCCTGTTTCTAAGTTGTCTAGTGTTTTAGGCATTGCCAGAATATGCTATCAATATAAACATGGCTAGTAATAAATAACTAGATTGTGTTTTATTTTTGCTTTCTTCATATCCAGTTTTACTTGTCATGAATAATGAATTCCTTAATTCCAAACTTATGATGTAAAGAAATAAGGTCCTGTGTCTATATTGTAAGGTGGCCTTACTGGGCTTGGGTAGACAGAGGTGTTCTGAACCCTCCATGCTTGTTGCTGTGAAAACCCTGAGAAGGAGCTGAGGAGATTGATTCCCAACACCAGTGTCAGGTGGCTCACAACCACGTGTGACCCTTGGTCTAGGGAGCCGGCAGTCTTCTGGCCTACTCTGGTACTCACATGTGCATGCGTATGTGTAGAGTCACTTGTACATACATAAAAGTAACAGATCCTTAAAGTGTCATTAACAATACAAATGAACACTGACAAGATAAAGGTGCTTTGTTAATTACGGGACAGCTGATGTAGAAGTTTTCAACAGGTAGGGCAGAGGCGTCCCAGGCAGCGTGGGCTCTTGTACTGAGGCATAGATCTGAGGGGAAAGTGGAAGAGGGGCGACAGGAGGATAGAGACGAGGAAGCAAGGGAGCAGCAGGAGGTGAGACGTGTGGGTGAAAATCTAGAAATGACTGCAGAAGAAGTGAGTTAGCGATGAATGGAAAGGTTAGATTAGTATGTGAGCAACTAGAGCTGTCTCTTGTGTTCTTTTATTTTCTAGAATAAGCTTCTTTATGATCATTCCTTTCTGTGTCTTGTTTCACATAAGTCTATTTCACAGAACTAGAGATATGACCTGCAGAGATGATACAGAAATAGGCACAGCTTGTCCTCACTCAGACATACTTGATATACTAAAAAAAAACCAGTGAAAGAATATTTGAGCTGAATTCGAATTCTGGCACTCTCAATGTAAAACCAGTAACTTTGCCCTCGCCATTAAACAGTGGGAATTAAAGCCACAACCCAATCATTTGTTTCACGGCTCAGTCAGAGGCACAGCTGCTCTGAATTGTGCAAGAAGTAAGTGCAAACGGCCACTTCATTTCGGCTGTTAGACAGAGAAGGCTTAAACACACTAGTTAAATTGCCATTTTGAGTTCCTCAGTATTAACTTACTTGTAAGTATTTTTGTTGTTTGACTTTGGTGCTAGGATAAGAAAGAAAACTGAAAATTGTGCAGAATTTCTGAGTGTGTTAATGTGCCCATTACGATGAATGGTAAGAAATAGGAGTTTATAGCCGCTGTCTTCTCAGTCTCCTCTTAGTAGTTGAGTGTTTCCATCTTTTGTCTCACTTTTTACAAAAAGAGTATTCAAAAAGAGAAAACACATCAAGGATGCAGGGATGGCTCACAGCTGTTACAAAGCCTGCATGAACCCTGACTCAGAGCTCAGCCCACACTTTATTCTTTTCAGACATCAGATGAGGCACCTGCACGTCTAATAGTATTCTCTTGCTGCTTCTTCCTACTCAACAAAGAACCCTTTACACACGCCTCTTCTCCTTAAACTTAAATAGGACTTAGGTGCTTACACCACATACATACATATATGTTTACTTTTTAAAAACTGCAAGGAGAGCAGAAAACTGTTCATAAAGCATCGCTCCTTGTGAACCAAGTAAAAATAAGGCATAGTATTGTTTCATAAGAGTTGTGAGTAATTAATGAACCATCTAAATGAATGCCAGGCCCTCTTTCATTTTTTTCTTAAAGTATGAAGGGTTTTTTTGTGAGGGGGGGATGGGCAGGGTATTATATAGGCTGGCTTTGAACTCAGACATCTGCCTGCCTCTACCTCCTGAGTGCTGGGATTTAAGACATGTGCCAACACTGCCTTTAATTAGCATGTTATAATGAGGGTATTGAATTTAGAGAGGCTACAAAAACCTTTGAACCTGAATATTCTGGTTAAGTTTTTGTAAACACTTGCTAAAGATTTTTATTTTTATGTAGTTAGAAATATGACCTATTTACTTGAAACAAAATCAGTTTACTTGCTGGCAGTGATAAAACTTAAAATTTTTCTTTTTGAGGTTCTACTAATAGAGATAGAAGTTCCCCTCCCCCAGGATACATTCCAGATGAACTACACGAGATTGCTCGAAATGGGTCATTCACTAGCATCAACAGTGAAGGAGAGTTCATTCCAGAGAGCATGGACCAAGTAAGCCAAACTGGGTGCTGTTTCTCACTCTATGTAAAGATGTTACTTACTGGTCAGGACCAGTGTGATTTGGCAGGCACCTTGGGTGTGGGGTGTGTGTGTGCAAGAATGTGTGTGTACATGCATGTGTGTACATGTTCTCTAAGTGAAAAATTGATAGAAACTGCTCATTAATTTATATATGCCCTTTTCGTTTTAGTATGTAAAAAAAAAATACCGGAACAATCTGATTTTTTTGTAATGATCACCCATGACACATTTGGTCTGTAATCTTAGATTAACATTCAGATTTTTTAAATGAACATATTTATCTTTCTATTTACCTACCTACACCTACCTATCTACCTACATCTATCTATCTATCTATCTATCTATCTATCTATCTATCTATCTATCTATCTATCTATCTTTGTTTTTCGAGATAAGATTTCTCTGTGTTGCTTGGGCTGTCCTGACACTTGATTTGTAGATCAGGCTGACCTCACGGAGACTCAGAAATCCACCTGCCTGTAAAGGGCTAACGGCGTGTGTGCACCACCACTGCCTGGCTTAACGAACACTTTAAAGATAGAATAAAATTACAAATACGTTATGAATCTGAGGTTTGGAACGGTTTCTAACATTTTAAAATGCTTCAGCTTTGTAGTATTGAGATGTTCATGGAGTTGCTGTGGGTCCTTACATGGCCCTGAGTGCCCACAGTACTGCAGCGTTTCCACCCCAATGCCGCAGTCACCGTGTCACTCGTCTCTGTAGAATAGGCCATTGTTCAGTTTTCAGTGAGCAAAATTACTTAACTATAGGAAAACTGTATTTTTCCCTTAGAAAATTTTGTAATCATAGCTTGCTTATTCAGGATGTTTAAAAATTAATAATTCTGGAAAGTGACTTTGTTGTAGAGTTTCTTATGAAGATTCTAAAATTGTGGGAAATTTGCATACATTTCATGATATGCTAGAAGCCATTGAATGATATACTTTAAATGAATGAGGTTTATGTTATATTATACCTCAAGCAGTCTTATAAAAACCTTTGGTTATTATCAGGAAGAGTTATGGTGGAACTCTTTATTTTCCTAGATGCTGGATCCATTGTCTTTGAGCAGCCCTGAAAACTCTGGTTCAGGAAGCTGTCCATCACTTGATAGTCCGTTGGATGGGTAATGATTATAGTTCTGCTTTTTAGTGCACATTGGCACATATGAAGTTATCAGTAACTCTTTTATCTACATTCTGAAGAGTATAGCTGACTGATAGTGGTCTACACTGACAGCAAGTAAAGGTTTCTGAACTGTGGATAAATCTTTTAATCTCATGGGGTTCAGCATCTTTATTAGTTGTCACATGGTGTTTCCTTTTCTCTACTGTTTCTGCTTGTCAGATTCTTGTTTGAAGCAAGTACAAACTTAAAAGTTACATAATGGCAGCTCTTGAAACTTACAAACATTTCCTGTTTGGTTTTGGCAGTTTCTTTTTTAAGATGGTATTTTTATCCCTTGTATGCACGATGTGCATTTGTAAGGGCTCCCTCTCTTGCTCTCAGAAGGACATTGCTCTTTGCAGTCTTCCTGGAGCACAGAATTAATCCTAGATGCTTCACTTCCCCTGACTTGTTTATGAAAGCAGATATACATTTGGAAATGATGTACGCTTTCCTCTACCATACCTGTGAAACCTGTGTGTTAGGATTTGCCTCGGGAAATCTACTCTGCCTGCTCCCACCTACTCCCCCAAAACAAAGAAATTTTTAGTGTCCCATCCTGAACATTTGTCATTAATGCTTGATAAGTTAAAGTTACATGTCTTTTGTATAGATTTAGAAACAGTTTCAGACAAGAAAATATTTTTCCAACATTAAACTGAAATACAGGTTGAAACCTCCATGGCTCTAAATATATCATTCTTACCCCTGTATTTAGTAGCTGATTTTAAAGGCTTGCCTTTCTGTCTGTGTGGGCCAAATGACTGTTCAAAGAAGTTTCTCTTTTTAAACACTTACGTCAGTATTTAAGTGTGCTCCTTTATACACATACACAATGAACACACACACACATTTTTAAAATGTTTTATTACATTACCCTTTTTATATTTTCTATTTATAGAGACAACTATCCAAAGTCACGGATGCCTAGGGCACAGAGCTACCCAGATAATCATCAGGAGTTCCCAGGTTAGACTATAAATCCTACATGTTTGAATGTTTATGTCTTATTTTGGCTGGGAGGGAAAAGTTTTTGAAAAAATTAAAAATGATACATATGCTTTTCATTATTAAAAGTATTTGACTTTTTTAATGATAAAGTTCTTATGTGTTAACAGACTATGATAACCCTATCTTTGAGAAGTTTGGAAAAGGAGGAACATACCCAAGAAGGTACCATGTTTCATATCATCATCAAGAGTATAATGATGGTAAGTTTCGAAAATCAGACTATAAGAGCAAAGTAATGTTAGCAAATATTTCAAAAATGAACACATATTTAAAAAACCTCATATTTATGATAACCAAATAATTTGTTCTTGAGTCACTTAATTTTCTGATTAAAAAAAATGAAAAAGCCTTTACCAGGAATGGTAGCACATACTTTTAGTCTTATTACTCAGGACACAGATCTCTATGAGTTCAAGGCCAACCTGGTCTACATAGTTTATACCAGGACAGCCAGTTACACAGAGAGACCAGGCTTCAAACAACAACAAAGCAGCAAGCCCTTTTGTGAGGACGCAGCCTAAGGCCCTGAATTTGACCTCTGTCAACCCTCCAAAAACACTTTTTGAGAAAATCAGGTTATAAGTGAGCAAAATAATATAATGGTTTTATGGCAACTTGTGATATTTATGTTTCACTATAAAGCAGTAATTGGAAAAGGTGTAAGTTAGAAATTTACTCCCTGAGGATGAAATTCACATTTGTCTCTTTAAGAAAGTAAATTGGGTCTGAGAAGATAGCTCAGTCAGTGAAGTGTGCGCTGCTCCAGCACAGAGCCTGAGTGCAGACCCCAGGACCCATGGAAAAGCTGGGCGCAGCAGCACGTGCCCCTGCCCTGAGCTTGGAGGAGGACGTGGAGCAAGTGAGTCCCTGAAGGCTTAGTGTCAGCCAGCCCAGCTGAGTCTGTGAGCTTCACAACGCTCAGTGAGAGGCCCAAAGTAGTACTTTAGTGGTTAAGACGGCAGCTGGCCCTTTGCCCGCGCCGTTTATCCCAGCACTTGGGAGGTAGAAGCAGGTGGATCTGTGGGTTTGAGGCTACCCTGGTCTAAAGAACTAGTTCCAGACCAGCCAGAATTACAGAACTATATAGTTACACCTTGTGTTGACCTTGGATCTCCACATGCTTGAATATGCATGTGAGTGCCAAACTTGACTTAGTCAGTGTGCTGTTGTGAAGGGACACCATGATCATGGCAACTCTTCTAAAGGAAAACATTTCATTGGGGCTGGCATAAAGTTCAGAGGATTAGTCCATGGTCATCACGGTGGGGAGCGTGGCAGATCAGACAAGCAGGCATAGTTCTGGAGCAGTGTCTGAAAGCTTACAGATCTGCAGGTAGCAAACAGAGACCCCCTCCCCCCAGTGACAGCTCCCAGTCACTCCCAAACAGTACGTCAGCTGTGGCCCACGCTTACAGATACACGAGGCTTTCGGGCCATTCTTATTCAAACCATGCCTCACATTTTCATTTTCCATTTATCTCTAGATGGATTCTAGACTATTTCCGTTTTTTTGCACGTGGGAATAAATGTAGATGTGTCAGTATTTTAGTGTGTCCTCTGCTACTGTGATAAGCACCATGACTAATACCAGCTTGGTGTTGAAAGGGTTTGTTTTACTTAGGACATTACTTCTCTTTAGAGAAGTCAGGGCGGGAACTGTAGCAGAAGCCGTGCAGAAAGTCTGCTTACTGGCTGGCTCTCAGGGCTCGCTCAGCCTGCTTTGTCATACAGTCTGGGGGCGTCTGCCCTGGGGTGCCACCACCTACAGTGAGCTGGGCCCTCCCATTCAGTCATTAATCAAGAAAGAGTCCACAGGCCAGTATGATGGGCAATTTTTCAGTTGCGATTTCCTCTTCCCAGATGACTCCAGCTTGTGTCAAGTTGACAGAACAAACAAAAAGATCCAATCGGGACAAACAGTTTGTCTCTGCTACCTGTAACTTTCCAGTCCGGTTTTATGTTTATTTTAAAGCCATTATTGGAAATGAGAATTTCTTCTGTAAAAGTAAAGGGTTTGTTTCTTCTGTGGTTATCTTGTGCACATGAGTGTAAGTTTATTGTCCCATTACAGAGCACTTGGATTTGTATGTGCTATCACTCCTCACACACAGAATCATGTTATTTCAGCCTTTTCCAGGCTATTCTTCAGGGCCGATCTTACTCTACATTATAGATGCTCAGACATCTGAAAAGTGTAGTAGGTTAATAAAGTTAACTCTCCATTCACTTTGCAGGTCGTAAGACTTTCCCAAGAGCCAGAAGGACCCAGGGCACCAGCTTCCGGTCTCCTGTGAGTTTCAGTCCTACTGATCAGTCCTTAAGCACGAGTAGTGGGAGCAGCATCTTCACCCCCGAGTGTGACGACAGTCGGGTACGAAGAAGGGGAAGTGACATCGACAACCCCACTTTGACTGTCTCGGACATCAGTCCTCCCAGCCGTTGTGAGTACCAGACATAGAGCAGGGCTGTGTGACAAGTCAGAACTCGGGGGACGCTCTCATAAGAGATAACAGTGTGACTTTAGAGGTGGCTAGGCCTTTAGGAATAAGTGGGTATTTCGGCCAATTACTTTAGCTAATTGTTCTTCACTTTATTAGGAAAATTGTTACTAATTGCTCCTATCCATTCTTTTCTACATGTCCATGTTAAGCCCTGAGGCTTCCCATGTAACTTCTAAGAAATAGCCTAGTGAGAAGATTGGCTTGTACAGTATAACATCTGTTAGATCCTATGTGTAAAATTCACTAGTTTTGTGTACCAGACATTCATCACTGGTGGAGCCTTACTAAAACCACCTACGGGAGGAAGGATTTGTTTTGTGTTTTGTTTTACGAGACAGGGTTTCTCTGTATTGTTTTGGAGGCTGTCGGTCCAGCCTGGCCTCGAACTCACAGAGATTCGACTGCCTCTGCCTCCTGAGTGCTGGGATTAAAGGCGTGCGCCACCACCACCCAGCAGAAGGATTTATTTTGACTCAAGGTTTTAGTCTGCAGTCCTTGGTGCCTTTTGATTCTCGATCCGTGATGAGACAGAGCGCTGTGGTGATGGACACATGGGTGGAGAGGGTACAACTCTCATAGTATTGGGAAACAAGACTGCACATAGGGAACTCAGTTCCCGCCTGGGTTAGGCTTAGGCTATGGGAGATGAGGTATAACCTTCGGAGGCATTGCCTCCCTGGAGATAACACTTCTCTAGGAAGGCTTCACCTCCTGAAGTTTCCAGAACTTCCCCAAATGGTTCTGTCAGCACTGAGTAGCTGCCTCTCTGGCCCTATTCTTTATCTTTGAGTATATCATGGTGTGTGTGTGTGTGTGTGTGTGTGTGTGTGTGTGTGTGTGTGTGTGTGTGTGTGTCATGGGGGGGTTATTGTTAAACCTGTAATACCTGCCCAAAACAAGAGTTTATCTTGACTTTAGAGTTGTGGGATAAAGTCCATCGTAGAAGGGAAGGCGCATGGTGGGAGCTCGAAGGGGCTGGTCGTGTTGAATCTGCAGTCTGAAAGCCGGGAGAATGGTCGTCCTGGTTTCATTTTGTTGTTTTGTCTTGGTCTGGGTTCACAGCCCATGGGATGATTGACACCACGTTCAGGTTGGGTCTTCCCTCTTCAGTTTACCTTCTCTGGAAACTCTCACAGACTTTTCACTGACATGGGGATATCTGTTTTTGTTTTTGTTTTTTGAGACAGGGTTTCTCTGTATAGATTTGTAGACCAGGCTGGCCACGAACTCACAGAGATCCACCTGTCTCTGCCTCCTGAGTACTGGGATTAAAGACACACCACCACCCGTACTACATTGCTATTTCACTGTTTTTGGCAGCTATCTTTAAAGAGATTGAAAATTAGGAGGGAAGGATCTGGATGTTTGGTTTGGTGATTAAGAGCACTGGCTACTTTCCAGAGGACAAGGCTCAGTTCCCAGCACCCACCTGGACACTCACAACTGTCAGTAGCTCCAGCCCCAGAGAACCGGTGCCCTTTCCTGGTCTCTGAGAACACTAGGCAAACATATTATGGACAGACACAGGTGCAGGCAAGACACCCATACACATAAAATAAATAATTAAAAAAAGAATAGGAAGGAAAATCTTTGATGTGTCATTTGTATGTATCTTCAGTTTAGTTGTTTCTGTAGATCTTTATATAGAGTCAAGATTCAGTATGAAATTCTTACTTTAAAGAGTTGAATTTTACCCTTTTTGTAATAGAAGTCTATGCATAATGCATTCATTTAACATTTATTTGTTTGAAAGGGCCTTATTTTTCCTTCATTTTTTTAAAAGATATTTTTCTGTATATAGATTTCCTTTAAAAAAAAATCAGTACTTTCAAATCATCTCTTGTCTTCTGGCCTACATATTTTTCAAAGAGAGGTTCAGTTCTAATTTTGTAGTCTTTCCTTAGCAGACAGCGCTCTCTCCTGTCTGTGGCTGCTCTGCAGACTTCCTCGTTGGTCCTGCAGCACCGTTGTCTGTGTCCTCCCACTCCTGCTCTCTTCTGAGAGTTCTCCCTTTTGATTTGTGATGCAGGGTGTTGAGATGAATTCCAAGTGGCCCCAAATCCCAGAGTATTGGAAGATGACCCTGGACTCTTGATCCTCCTCTCTTCACTTCCCAAGTCTGGGATTTAAGGGCTACTTGTTTATGATCTTATTGAAGGAACATTTTCAGTTCCAGCAGTTTTATTTGACTCTATATATCTGTTCTTCCGTGTTGTCTGCCTTCTCCATTTAGACCTTTGACATGTTAATTGGTGTTTTAAAAGATTTTATATTTTTATTTTTAGGTGTGTGTATGAGACAGACAGACAGACAGACAGACAGACACACACACACACACACACACACACACACACACACACACACACGGAGGGATGGAGGGATTCCTTGGAGCTGGAGGAGTTACAGGTGACTGTGACCATCCATGTGTGTCCTCTGCAAGAACAGCAACCATTCTTACTTGCTGAACCATCTCTTCAGCTACCATATGTTTTTGTGTTTTTATTTTAATTTTAAAATGCTTGTGTGTGTAGTTGTGGAAATTAAACCCATTGAAAGTTGTGTGATGTTGGCACATAGCTTTAATTCCAGCACTTGGGAGGCAGAGGCAGGTGGATCTGTTGAGTTTGAGACCAGCCTGGTCTAGAGAGTTAATTCCAGTATCACCAGGGATACACACAGAAACCCTGTCTCAAAAAACAAAACAAAAAACCCCCTAGAAACCCTAAACCAATGCTTTGTGCATTCTACCACAGAACTACATCCTCAGCCTACTTAAAAATTAAATTTCCTGAGTTACCTTGAGTCTAATTATGCTGATTATTGTCTTTTGTGATATCCACCCTCCCCCAACCCACACAGGGTCTCTGTGGCCTTGGCTAGCTTGGAACTCGCTCTGTAGACCAGGCTGGCCTTGAACTCACAGATCCTCCTGCCTCTGCCTCCTGAGTGCTATGATTAAAGGTATACACCACTATGCCTAGGGTTTGGTTTTGCTTTTTTGAGACAGGGTTTCTCTGTGTAGCTTTTGAAACCTGTCCTGGAACTTTGTCTGTAGGCCAGGCTGGCCTTGAACTCACAAAGATCCACCTGCTGGGATTAAAGGCATGTGCCACCACCACCGCGTTTGTTTTGTTTTTCAAGTTTGCTTTTTTATGCTTTTTACAATTTTACATGGAATGCCAGATGTCACTTACAGGATCATGAAGACTAAAATAAATAAAATTTGTGCCTGGGAATAGTACAACTCTTCTGCATAGTTCATTTTTTATGATGAATTGAGTCAGTTATTTTGTTTGCTCTCCCATGCCTAGGCACAATGGACTTCAAATTCCTCTAGATTTTTCTAGATGGCTTATAGATAACCCTGCTCTAGTGCCAGCAGTTAGTACATCTTTGTGTCTGCTTCTCAGAGAGGTAGCTCTCTATGTCCTCAACCCCCTTCCTCAGCAGTAGGTTGCTGCCGCCTATAAAAGCCTAGGATAAGGGAGACACCTGTGACTTCAGTTCTCAGAAACGGGCTTTATCACAGATGCTGCCCACTTCTTTTGCAGAAGGAAAGTGTTAATGGTCAGGGTACAGATTTCCAGCTCTTATTCTCAAAGGTGTTTTGTTTCTTTTTTCCCCCACTGCTCTAACATAGTGGTAATAGTTTTGTTACTCTTCTTCAAGAAGTTTCAGGCTGTTTGGGCTGGTTTTTTTTGGGGGGCGGGGTACAAATCTCACTCTGTAACCCTGGTGACCAGGAATCCCCAAGGGAAATGTACGTGACTCTGCCTCCTTAGTGATAGGATTAAAGGTATGTGTCATCATGCCAAGCAGTGGCTCTTTTCAGGGTGGCTGTCTGTCACAGGCCATTCCCCCTTCTCTCCTTGATCACCACGGCTGTGATCTCTGGCTCCCGTGAGTACAGGGAGGGCACACAGCAGAGCTTAGCATTCCTTACTTGCTGGACTGGATTTCTCTGTGCTTCGCAGTGTCTTTTCTTTCCTCGGCGTGCCTGCGTTTCCTTAGATTTTAGGTTGGTTGGGTGCCCTGTAATCTGTTTTCCAGAATGTTCAGTAAAGGTTATAATTTTTCCAGGTGGGGCAGTACACATCTGTGATTGCAGTGCTTGGGGTTAGAAGGACCAGAAGCTGAGGGCCAGCCTGAGCTACATAACAAGTGACAGAGTGGTCAGCTCTGCATATTGAGACCCTGTCTCACAACAAGCGAACCGGAGACACACTGTAGGGCTGGAGAGAGGTTTCACGTTACACAGAGGGGGGGGCTAAGTGCACTGGCTGCCCTTCCTGATGCCTAGCTTTGGTCCTCAGCACTCAGGAGGCCGCTCACAACCACCTGTAACTCCAGCACTGAGCACGTGGTACACATGCACATATGCAGGCTTAACACCCACAATCAAATAAAGCTATAATTTTATTATTCATTGATTTCTCCTATAGAGATGGGAATGATACTCTTTCCAGATTTCTGTATTGTAGGTAGGACTGAAAAAACTGTTTACAAATGCTTGCAGTTTGCTGCCATAAAAATGGGAAAGTAGGGTATCTTACAGTTGCTGACATCTTAGATTAAGTGAAAGAAAATCTTCCTGGGAAAAAACTGTGTCATGAGATACAGACTTTTAGTTAAAATTCTAATGTTTTTGGAAGATGGAGATCCTTATAAATGGACGTAACATTCCATTTGTCTCCAGAATGTTGAGTTAGGGATGTTACTGCATAGCACTTGACTACTCCATTTTAAGAAAATATTATTTTTCAGCACCTCGGGCTCCGACGAACTGGAGATTGGGCAAACTGCTTGGCCAAGGAGCTTTTGGTAGGGTCTACCTGTGCTACGATGTTGACACCGGAAGAGAGTTGGCCGTTAAACAAGTTCAGTTTAACCCTGACAGCCCGGAGACCAGCAAGGTAAGAGTCACCATGCAGATCGCCTACTTGGCCATCACAAAGCAGTTCTTGGAGGGGAAACACCAAAACCAAAACAGGACTAAGATTTCTCCAAGCCTCGAGAGCCGATTCAGTCCCCAGAACCCACATGGTAATAGAGAGCCGGCTCTCACAAGGTGCTGTCTGACCTCCACAGTGGCGTTGCAGCATGTGTGTGCGCCCCCGGAGGAGACTAAATGTACACGAAGCGTTTTTAAATGTCATGTGACAGCACACTGCGACTTGTGGGCTGCAGTCAGTCAGCTGCTGCAGTGCTTCCTTTGTATTCCTAGTCTGACCTGGCGTTGCCTTAGCAAACCACCACGGCTGCTAAATATGAGGTACTGTGCGTCTGAAGAGATGGCTCAGTGGCCGAGAGCACCTGTGGCTCCTCCAGACAACCCAGACTGAGTTCCCAACCCCCACATGGAGGCTTGTACCTGTTTGTAGCTCTAGTTCCAGAGGTGGTCCAGCACCCTCTTCTGGCCTCTGGAGGCACTGCACACCTGGTCCAGACAAACTCAGGCAAATTCACACATATTAAAAAAATAAATTAAAAAAAACTTGATTAGAGCCTAAAATATTCTGTGTACAGTGAACATTTCATAAGGAAATCACCATGATAGTCTATGAACTAAGAGTGTTTTATGTTTACTGTGATGCTGTGAAGACTTACTGTAGGGCCAGTGAAATTGTTAACAAGTGAAGGTGCTTGCCACCAAGCCTGTGAACCTTAGGTCAATACCCAGAATCCACCTCCTGCAGACCCACATGGTGGGAAGACAGAAGTAACTCCTGCAAGTTGTCCTCTGACCTCCTTTTCATTGATGGTACAAACATGAATGAACGTGCATACACAGACAGAGACAAACATGATAACATTTTATTAAAAAGCCTTAGCAGGAGTTCTGTCTTTCAGGAAGTAAATGCACTTGAGTGTGAAATTCAGTTGTTGAAAAACTTGCTTCATGACCGAATTGTTCAGTATTACGGCTGTTTGAGGGATCCTCAGGAGAAAACACTGTCCATCTTTATGGAGTATATGCCAGGGGTAAGTTCATGAATCTTTTTGAAAAGATCCGTTCTTTGTAAAATAAGTTGAGTGCACTCCAGGCCCTTTGATCTGCTGTGCCATAGATGAAACTCTGGACCTGATATTGCTGAGTCAGGGGGCGTAGCTGTGCTGATTGCTCATAAGAGGAGAACTCATTACTGTATAAAGTTTTAGTCTTTCTTGTAGCCAGGATAAGAATATTCAGTTCATCTTTAAACATTTTTCAAGATGGCAGTTGGCATCGTTACTCATTAAGAGATAGTGTCTTCTGCCAGGCATGGTAAGGTACATCTATGATCCCAGCACTCAGGAGGGAGAGGTAGGAGGACTTCAAGCTCAAGGCCAATCTAGACTTGACAAGGAAAAAGAAAAAATATATATCCAGGTGGTGATGGCTTATGTCTTTAATACTAGCACTTGGGAGGCAGAGGCAGGTGGATCTCTGTGAGTTCAAGGCCAGCCTGGTCTATAGAGGACAGCCAAGCTACACAGAGACATCCCTCCTACCCACCACACACCCCACCCCCATCTTAAAAAAAGAGGAAGAAGAAGAAGAAGGAGAAGAAGAAGAAGAAGAAGAAGAAGAAGAAGAAGAAGAAGAAGAAGAAGAAGAAGAAGAAGAAGAAGAAGAAGAAGAAACATAGTCTCATAACTTAATAGAGCAAGTTAGGAAAAAGAAGTTTGATTTGTGGGTCTTTATGGGAGTAGATACTAGAGTTCCATGTTGAAGTTCAAGGTTGCCATTTAGGTGTATAGATCAGTTGTTGACCGTTAGTGCCATGCAAGCACAGTGTTCTTTCACCATTAGCATAGTGGTTTGTCACACCATTGCTGCTCACCGGATTTATTGGCTGCTACTTTACATATTCAGTTATTCTGTTTCCTGTGTAAGCTGGCTTAGACATTGTTTTTGAAAAACATACGGAGGTTTTATTAAAGGTACTACAAAAATGGAAGACTTGCAATTTGTTAATTTCAAAGAGACTAGTTCAACGTAAATAATCTGAAAGAACAGAAATTCTGCATATATTTTTTTTTTCTTACTGGGAATTCTTGCCCTTTTTACTTAGAGTCTCCTAGCTATGAATTAGGATTCTCTTAAAAATATTTAGTAGAAGTTTTTAATTTAAATGGAGGTTTTAGTTGCTTTTTTTTATTCTAGGGTTCAATTAAGGACCAACTAAAGGCATATGGAGCTCTTACAGAGAATGTGACTAGGAAATACACCCGTCAGATTCTGGAGGGGGTCCATTATTTGCATAGTAATATGATTGTCCATAGAGATATCAAAGGTAAGTCATGACTTCCTTTTTACTTTAGTGTGAGTATGGATGAAAGAAATATCAAAGCATTGAGCACCAGAACTGTAAACTACCATAGGCAGCGGTTCTCCAGCTTTCTCATGGACTCTGCTAAAGGTCCTGTCAAAGTAGTTCTAAAATTTGGGCCTACCTGGATGATTAACTTCGATGTAAGGATCCATAGAATCAATTTCATTGGAACACTCCTAGAATAACATAACCATGTTTGTGTATGTGTTGCCTGGGCATTAGGACAGTGAGCAGGGGCTCTGCCATCAGGGTTGGATTCAGACTTGGGGTTCATTGCTACTGAACCCTTGGGCATGTTACTGTCTGTGTCTTCCTCATTCCTCATCAATCTTCCCATCCCTCTTGCTTCCTTCCATCCTCCCTCTTTTTCTTCCCTCCCCATGGCACACCCCCAGTCTCTGCAGATGGAACCTAGGAAATCGCATATACTAGGCAAGTTCTCTACCCCGAGATGCGCTCACTCTTCTCTCTTTGACTTAGTCTTAAGTTAGTCATGATAGTATTCAGTTTATAGGAGTCTTGGAAGGATCAAATGTGTTAGCATGTTGCATGTTTAAACCAGTGCCTGGTGCTCAGCACTTAAACTCAGCTACTGTGATGACACATTTCATGTTGCCATTGTATTTAAAGTCATGGGAGTAGATGTCATGAAAGAATAAAGAGGAAGGAAATAAAGATTCCAAGACTGAGCTTTGATGAACTCCAGTTAGGGTAAAGTCACTTTTTCCCCAGGGATCAGATATAGGAATGCGTATATGAAGTGAATTAATGGTAGAGATGTGTAAAATTTGAGAGTGCTAAACACTCTTTACTTTGCAGCCTACCTGAGTCTTTAAAAACTGGGGTTTGGCCCAAAATTTAGAAATCACTGAGTAAAAAATTACTCATTGATTGTGTTGTTCCTCTCACAAGTTTCTAGTCTTTTGCTTTTCTGTACAATGGGGCTGCAGCTTGACTCTGCCCAGATTAAGTCAAGAAGATTGCCAATCATATCTGGTAATTGAACAGTAATTTTTAGAATGAGTCTAATATGCAGAATTCCTGAGACAGGTCACATAAACTAGAGTGGGACTTATTAAGTATAAAAACCGATAGCTTAAAGAACCTCATAAAGGAGTTATTCAATTAGGCATATCTATTCCTAGTCAAGTCAACTCGTTGGCCTTCAAAAAGAAGTAAGAAAAACAGAGGGACCCATTGTCTGTATAGATGGATCTTCTTCTAATCTTACCAAAGAGTCTGATGAACCTCCTTGGTCAAGCGAAGGGAGATGGAAATAGGCTGATGCAAAAATGTTACAGGACAAAGATAATGATAAGGGAGAAAAATAAGATACAAAAATAGGGTTTCAAATTTGTAAATTTAAGCATGACAGAAGGAAAATGATGGCCACCAAATGGCAACATAATGGTATTTGTTTTCTACAATATACTTTTTACTTGTTCTGTGTCTTCTAATTTGTATGAACAATTTATAAGTGGCAAACAGAAAGGTAAAGATAATTGATTTTGTGTGACGGATGTCAGACCTGTTAGATGATAACAAAGATGATGATCATCACTACTAGGAAACTCACTCGTTTCCCAAGTTTATTCCGCATCTCCCCCCTTACCCCCTCCTCCCTTCTGTGTGTACACACATGCGTGCTAGTGCCCCAGAGCACTCACAGAGGGCAGAGGACGGTGCATCACAGGCACCTTTACTGACTGAGCTGTCTCTCCTCCTAGCCCTGTTGTTCTCCTCTCAGGGAACTGAACTGTCGACAGGCTTGGTGTTGAAGGCCTTTGATCACAGCAGAGGCAGATGCACGTGGATCTCTATGAGTTCAAAGCCAGCCTGGTCCTGGGGGTGGGGGGGGTCTATGCTATTGAATACCAAGTAGTTAATAAAAGGACCCTTTCTTTTCTTACTGGTTTTATTTGTGTGTGCACCCACAGGCAGGCATGCACGGCAGATGATGATGGGGAATGCCTGCTCTGTCCCTCTCTCTCCATCTTGTTTTCTTGGGTCAGGATCCATCGCTGCAGCTCACCATTTTCCAGCTAAGTTGGCTGTCCAGGAGTACTCTTCATCCTCTTGTCTATGCCCCAGGCACTGAGATTACAGATACGCGCACATATACCCAGTTTTTATATGTGCTGGAGATCTGAATTCAGGTCCTCATGATTGAACAAAAAACACCCTTGTCCACTGAGTCATTTCCCTATCCTTAATAATTTTTGCCTTGCTTTAGCTTTTAGTTGTCCAGTTGGATGTTGGATCTGAGTAATGGAAGCATAAGCAATTCTGGCTACCCTTGCATATATTTGAAAAGTCTTATTTTTAATTTACTAAAGTATAGTTTAAAAACCAGAAAACTGTACTGGGAACTTGGCTGCCTATTTTTCCGTAGCTCCTCCTCTGGTTGAGCAGCCAGGTTCCATGTGTCTGTGTAGGGAAGGTGACCTCTACTTGTAACCAGTAAAATCCAGTTCATTAAACATATGTCGTCTCAGTTAACTCAGGAAAGCTAAGGTAGGAGGATTGTGAGGCTCACTTGAGCCCAAGAGGAAAGTTGCCAGCCTGAACACCATGGCAAGACCACAGGCTCAAGGAGACAAAAAGGTCTGTTTTGCTTCTGTGTGGTTAAATACTCTGGAGATGGTTGGGTGTTTTCTGAGTCCTCTTTCACATGCTAGGTAGTAGGAGACCGTAAGCAAGCAGGGCTACGTAAGCAGATGGCTAGACTCTGCTGTGGAAATTACTGTTGGTAAGGCTGGGGAATTTTCTGGGAACATAGAGGCTCATGGTGAAGATGGAGAGTCTGTATTCCCTATGGTCTGTAATGTAGATTATTTGCACTATTCAGCCTTCTCCATAGAAATCATTAAAAGAAAAAAAATGTAGCGTGGTGATATGTGCCTGTAATCCCAATGCTGGGGTGGCGAGTCAGGAAGACCCCAAGTCTGAGCTTTATAGTAAAGCCTTGATTAAATGACAACAGCAACAAAGAACACCCTCAAGTTCAGGAAACAGATGCTTCAGGAATACTGAAGTCAGGGGTGATGCTGAGTTTTGGTTGTGAAGGTCCTTTTGGAAGTCCTGAGGAGAAGCTGGTTTGTCAGGAAAGTCTTCTTCAGCCATGGAGTTGGAGGCTTTCTTGGTGCTTTCTTAGCCCTTTCCCCTGTCTCTTCCCACCTCACCTGCCCCTGCCCCACCCTCTCCATGAGAAGCTCATTAGTTTGAAACATCTGGATGTTTCAGGTCATGTGTAAACAGCAGATGCAAGGTCGATAGAGGCATCCCAGGCACTCCTGGGAGTAGACAGGCAGCCTCATTCGGGGACAGATGAGGAGCTACAAAGTCGTTCTCTGCCACTTATATGCATTCTAGAATGCTAATAAAATCATTGAAATGAGACTATTTCTTATTTTTAGGAGCAAATATCTTAAGGGATTCCACAGGCAATATCAAATTAGGAGACTTTGGGGCTAGCAAACGGCTTCAGACCATCTGTCTCTCAGGCACAGGAATGAAGTCTGTCACAGGCACACCATACTGGATGAGTCCTGAGGTCATTAGTGGAGAAGGCTATGGCAGAAAAGCAGATATCTGGTAAGTTTGGATGTCAGATTTGCCTAGAAAACTACCTTCTTATTTCTGCCCACATTTGAAATTGCCATATTTAAATTGTCCTGTGTACTTTGGAAGCAGGGTACATGAATTGTAAGGATTATTGCCATTTCAACTATAACTTATCAAGGCTAATTTGACTAGATATTTGAGTCTTTGAACATATTTTTACTTCTTTAGGGAGGATTTTGTCCTAAGCAAACCTCAACACTAGAAAGCTCTTATTTCCCTGAGTAACTTTTAAAGTACTCTTGGTTGTCAGTGTCTTATAAAAACAAAACAAAAAAAATGAATCAGTGGTTTTCTTTTAAGTCACAAAGATCTGTATAAACATTTGAAAACAGGTAATAGCTACCTGTATGAGATGGGTTAGGCTACAAGTAATGCTGGTGAGAGTGGGCATGAGATTACCTGAGGAGATGAGTCCATCACTCCTACCCACCCTAGCGGGAACCTGGACTCCTTACCACAGCCCGGGCCGGGATGCAGCACACTCTACAAATGTTCCGTTACTTACAAAGCTAAAACCTTACAGCGAAGCAATGCAGTTCTGAATGGGTCATCAAGTAATTCTATTTATGTGTTTGAACAACAAGGAGATTTCCATTAATAGCTGAATTATGTTTTGATTGCAACATCACATTTTCCAAGGATCTTGAATGTGAAACATATAATTATTTACAATAAATTGATAATTGCTTTACAGAAATAAAAACTGTTGCTGTGGTGGTGGTGTGATATGGTATTTTCATAATATGCTTAGCTCTGTTGTTTTTGGAAAATACATTATTGGATTCTGGATGATTTAAGGTATCTGCAAGTCTTCCAGGTAAGGAAGAAGAGAAATTATGCTGGTGCCTATATCTCTGGCAGGGGCTCTGTCATGGCAGGGGCTGTGTGTTTAGTTGTTAGTGTTTTAAAATTGAATTAGTAAGTTATATGATAATTTTAGAATAGGTCTTAAAATGACCATTTCTCAATTCCCAACCAAAAAAATTATTTATTTTAAGAACTTGAAGGCAAATAATTTATAATATTTGTATTCTTTGTAGGGTAGAGAAAAATTAACATCAATGATAGAAAATGATCTAAAACAAAAATAATGAAGTTTGTTGCCTAACCATACATTTATGATCAGACAGTTATGATATATTTTCATTGAAATGTATACTAGTTGTTCCAGCCCTTCATTGATTTTTATGTTTGAATTACAGTTTTATTTACTTAACCTTTGAGTGAAACTTGGTATTTGAAATAAGTGATATTAAACTGTATGTGGACTTATCTCGGTTCCTCATTTTCTGACTAACAGCTTTCCTAAAGCTATCGCTTGGATAACACCTCTTTCCGTTCTTTTAGGAGTGTCGCATGCACTGTGGTAGAGATGCTGACTGAAAAGCCACCGTGGGCTGAATTTGAAGCAATGGCTGCCATCTTTAAGATCGCCACCCAGCCAACAAACCCGAAGCTGCCACCTCACGTCTCAGACTATACTCGAGACTTCCTGAAACGGATTTTCGTAGAGGCCAAACTGCGGCCGTCAGCCGAGGAGCTCTTGCGACACATGTTCGTGCACTACCACTAGCCGCCAGGCAGCCCATGCCTCCCAGCCCGTCTCGAGCTCTCCTCTCTCTGCACTTTCCTTTTTATAAAACGGGAGACGGGGAGAAAAGACAAGAGGGAAAACGCTTCTCTTGATTCTCGGTTAAAGTTGTTTAATAATAATAGTAAAGTAAATTTTTTATATTTAATCTTTTTTCTTTACAAGAACTTGAAACTTCTTTTTTTTTTAAATTTTTATAATGTACTGATGTGGTTCAGAAATATAAAGCACTTTAGTACATAGTTGCTCTTTTTAGTACAAACAAATCATTTGAAATATATAAAGATTATAGTCTTGCCCTGTATCACTGACATGGAAGACGAAGAAAGTGCTGTACAATTTGTAGTTTTTAGTGATAGTATTTAAATAGATCCTTATTTGTGGGGTTGAGCTCTAAACTTGAGATTAGGGTAGGTACTCAACTTAAAGAATATAGGTTCCTTCTTATGCCTGTATTCTTTAGATGTTAACCTCTGTCTATCAAGCTTTTTTGCTCAGTAGGAATCTTGAATAGAAGATGCGAATCTCTAAGAGGTATGCTTGCTAATCCTAAGCAGTATAATAGGCAAATACACTATAGTAGATCCATGTTACTGGAATCTATAAACCTTGAGAGAGAGCTTTCTCCTTAAAAATACTGTTGTATTTGAAAGCAGATTATGTGAAGCCAATGAGTAAATTCAACTAAAACACAGACGACTGTTCGTTAGATGTATGAGCAGTAGAAGAGATCAGTAGAAATAATGAACAAAAAGAAGCAAGTGTCATTTGGTATATTTTAAACATTATTTACTTGAGGGGTAAGTCCCAAAATGAAGGGAACTGAGGAATGATAAAAATTGTGTATAATTTCTTCCTATTTCAAGCCCCTGGCTTCCCATAGGAAAGTCTTTAACTCAAGTACCCATCTGTTAAAGCTCCCGTCATGAAGTAGAAGCCTTGTTCTTGGGGTCATAGAGTACAAAGCCAGAGGCACCTCAGAATAGCAAACGTCAGGTAAACTGAGGTCAGTGGTGGGCAGTCATTTCACTTCACTTGGCATTTGGCAATGCCTGGAGACACCTTGTTGCCGTAACTGGCCAGGTCCTACTAGCATCCAGTGGGTACGGGTTGGGCGATGCTGCTAGACAGTTTAGTACACAGGGACTCCCTTCCAAGGGTTACCGTGCCATAGACGGCAGAAGTGCCTCGGATAAGCACCCATTCACAGAGCAGTAACAGCACAGCTCAGAGGAAACATGTAGGGTGCATGACGGTCATAAGACAGGTGATGATGAGTCGGGGATGGACAGCCTCAGCACAGCAGGTCACAGGTGACTCTTGACAGCTGCTGACTGCACCTGAATGTCACTAACTCACTTTAGAAGTAACTCAAGCATTGAACCTTTTGAATTTATCATCTCTTTATTCTCTCCTTAAAAGTCAGTTCATCCTTCTAGACCCAGAAAAGTACACCAGAACAAAGTGTTTCCTGGCAGTGGGAAGGTTAAAACATTGCCACATAGGTTTCCAGTGTATGCATCTACTTAGAGCAGTGCCATTAAATGGAAGACTAAGCTGGAGAGGACCCTGCTGTCCCTAGTAGATTATGAGACCTGGAAAACATGAAGGTGTCAGTAATGTGGCCACTTGTGAATTTTTCAGCATATTAAACCAAGTGCCAAGTAGTTTATTTTCAAAAGTCTAGACGATAACAGTCTTCCAGGAGACCCTGAATGTGATACTTTTCATTAGAAGGGACTAAATAACATTCTGATTTTGTTGCTGTTGTTACAAGGTATGTTTCTTTAGGTATTTTTTTTAAGTACTTTGCTTCTGAAGTTATGTAGATCTGGTATACCCTGTAATAATTTTTGAAATTCTAGTAGTCTGAGTCAAAGCACAAAATATTGGTTAACACTTCTCCTATACACTGTAAAGCAAAGGAAGCCCCTTACAAAGAATAGGCATCAGGTGCCTCTCACCGCAGCAATCTTACTCTTACGCTGGAAACCTATCGTGTGGGTGTGTTGTAATTTCTTTATCTTTAATGAGTGAGGGCATCTTTTCTACTTGAGCAAGATCATGGTACCTGAATTGCTAGGGTTTTATTTTGTTGTGTGTTTTGCTGTTTCTTTGTCTCTAGTCTGGTTGTGATTTCCTTTTGGCTCATTTTTGGTCCATCAGGGTAACGTGCAGTACAGAAGAGAAACACTCTTCAAAAAGATGCCTGCATACTGGAACTCAAAGCAGTTGTTAGCTTTTTAACAGTCCTCTATTTTTTTCCTAATTCAGTAGTAAACAGCTGCATCAGAGTACTTTTGCTTTATGAGAAAAATAAATTATAAAGAGTTAAAAATAGACTAACAGTTTACAGAGCTATTATATTGAATATGATGTGAATTTATTTCAGACCAGTTGTGAAGGTACCAAAACACAGTGGAAGTTTATATACATACATATATATGCACATATATGTGTATAAAATATACATACACACACATATATATGTATAAAATATACATATACATACACACACATATGTGTGTATAAAAGAAGACCCTGCTAGAGCAAAAAAGCTTGAAGTAGATGGGGAATGGGACATGGAAGGTCAATAGTAAATTTAAAAGAACTTTTTTTGAAAGGAACAATTTTGTCAAAGGAAATAAAATAATTACACTCCATTTTTTTCTGATTAATAGTATGAGCTAACAGATGAAGTTTGAATTTTTTAAAATTGCTCTAAATGTATTTTGCTTTTTTAAAATGCACAACTGATTCTTTTGGTACTGCAATGTTTCTTTATGGCTGGAAAATGGCCTGACTGCTGACTTTGTGCCTTTAAATGCGCTCTGCATTGCCAGTAGCAGACTTCCGGTGCTGGAGCTAGCTCCACTCGCGTCAGATGTGCATCAGGCCCTACGAGACTCACAGCGGCATGACAGGGATGAGTCAAGCCAAGACCTTTTGCAGTGCAAACAAAAGTAGTTGAGTAAAAGAGTTGAAAAACATAACTAATACAATTTTTAATGGATTGGTGTTTAAGTGTATTGAAGTTATACATATTTTGAGGTTTTTCGGAATGAATGCCTTGGAAAATTTCAGCACTTTTCCTTGTTTACAAAAGTATATTTCTAACTTTAAAAACATCTATAACTATTGCCTTAGAAAGTATTAAGAGGCACAATCTACAACACATGAGAAGTTGAATATTAATGCACATGCTGGACTATAAAAGAGTAATTAAAACTTTTATTTCAGAATAAATTGAATTGGCTTTCATTTGAGTCTTACCTTGTTCCCAATAGAAATTACATAAAAAGTAAGAATACATCCTTAGATGGCTTTCTGCTAAGTTCTGCCATTGGTCAGGTCTTCTGAGCTGTACTATTTCTGAAATATAGTTGTTATAAAATATGTGAAATCACTAAGAAAAGAAAATCAAGCCTGAATAGATTGGCTGATGACCCAGCATGATGCAGATTCCATGGCTAATGGCAGAGTTCATGCCAGAGGTTTCATTTGGGGTCTGAGAACCTTTATATAAATTCAGCTGGAGTCGTCCAGGTATACAAATCTATCAGTCTTGTTTTGTGTTTTTGGAGTCAGGATTCTCACTCTGTTTCAGGCTGGCCTGGAACGTCAATGCTCCTGCCTCTGCCTCCAGGTGCTGGGAAAAGAGGGGTGCACCACCACACCCAGATGCACCACCACACTCAGCTTTGTCTGTTTATTTAAAAAAATAGGGTCAATATTTTTCATTTTCTTACTTAATAATTGTAATGTGCTATGTCGCATTAAATTAATACCCTTCAGGAAGTTACAGTTGAAGAAGAGTATGGGCAGGCAGTTACTTTATGACATACCCTAACTCTGAAGGTTTAGCGGTATGTTTAAAATGTTAGGCTTTTTATATGAAATAATAAGGAAGAAACTTTGGGTAATTATTGGCTATCATGGACTCCAAAAACATTAACAAGAAGGATTAGAAGAAAACTATTCCCATATCTACCAGGTTAGGCAACCTCTGTCAGAAACTTCTCCTAGTACACAACACAGCCCCAGAATGTTCTGTGATGACGGAGCATTTATTCCTTAGTACACTGTATTGGGGTTCTCCCTGACCCAGCTTTTATTACTGTTTTAGTTTGGTTTTAAGGAAAAACAAAAAGTTTGTTTTACTTTTAGGTGTGGAAATACCCAAAATATTTGATAAAGGTTGAACTCACACCAAGTATTTCTTATGCTAAGATCAGATTTTTTTTTTGAGACCCTATTGTTTATCATTAAATTTGGCATTTACTTTTAGATGTAACATTCATATTTATTTGACTTTAACACTGGTTAAACGTCAATGAAAAGCAATTTGTTAATTTTTAGTAGTGCCTTTTTCTCTGTATGCCTTAATTTTATTTTATATTTGTAATTCAAATTACCTAACAAAATGAAGTTTTCCAAAATCACTAGGCCTCAAGAGTTTATTTGGCCTTAGACTGTGTGTTGGCCCCTGTGTTTCTTAATGCTTATTTCCTTCTCTTACCCTTTCTACCTCCTTTAAGAAGAAGTTAGGAGAGAAACAGTAGCATTTATCTGATTGCAATCTCCACTAGCTGTGAATCCCTAAAATGACTATAGAAAGGTATTCTCATTCTAAAAGACACAGGAAATTGATTTTTAGGTTGGTTACATGATTTTCAGTCATATTGGCACTGTCCAAGTTCTTTGTGCATTATTGTTTGGTTATGATTTTCATAGAGCTAGGGCTGTTGTCTTACCCTAAAGCACTCTTGTGAGTGTCCTGCAAAGGTTGAGGCGATGAACAAGAAATCCAGGGACAGTGAATTCTAATCCTTAGTGTTTAACATTTTGACTAGTATTCTAGCTTACTGTTCTGTGAAGTGTGTGCGTGTGTGTGTGTGTGTGTGTGTGTGTGTGTGTGTGTGCGCGTGTGCGTGTGTGTGTGTGTGTGTCTGTTTGGAGTTAGGGCAGGGGTAGGAAGGAAGGTGTAGTTGTTCAGTTAGGTCTGTCTTTGTTCTTGGAAGAACAACTGAAAATGTGTGATCTACTCATGTGGGATGATGATAATCACCCTCAAGTAGGCACGCCAGTATATTTTCCCTAAGTAGCTAGTGAAAATGATGCTTTAATAAAGGTGTTTATTGTAAATTGCCAAGCTCTTAGTTGCTAAAAGTAGATTAAAATTAAATTTGTGTGTTGTGTATATGATAATTAGCTTATATATAATTCTTAAATAGAAAGTATTCAGTCTTAGATATTTCTTTATGAACTTTTTGGAATAGAAACTCTGCCAGACATTATCCAACGTAACCAGCTTCCTTAGCTTACCAAATCTTCAAAAGGAGATACTCTGATGCCTCTTTCTGGTTGGCTAAGGAAGGTGCTGTGTGCCACTGTTCCTACTTCATAGGTGTCTATAGTGTTGCTTTGACTTCTCCCATTATCTAAACACGATGCCATAAGAGCTGTGGACTCCCAGGGCCATCCTTCTCTCCATCCTCATCTTTCCGAGCTGGAGATGATAAGCTTTCAGGGGAACCCAGACATTTCTTTTCTCAGAGGTACTAAGAGTGGTAAAGGTTGAGCTTCAAGAAGGCAAGGGAGGAGTCGTAGCTATAGTAAAGAAAAGAATAAATTGTATCCATTGCCTATATGCAGTTTCATATCATTCTTGATGGTTTTGTGTTTGTGTATTTTAATAGACAGTCATAAGTATTAGTCATAAGGTGTTGTTTCCTAACAGCAAAGACATTAAACAAGAGAATACTCCTGTCCTGCCTGATGGTGTTTGCTTGTATCTCAGTCTGTATTACCAGAGTCACTTTAAACCAAAGCTTTTGTATTCCCTGCACATATAGCCAAAATTATTATCCCTGTTACATCTGCCCTTGTGTAAGCTAATAGTACATATGGTAGAGCAGATGCTAGTAGAATTTGTATGCCAATCTATCCTTCAAGGAAAAGGACAGGTGCTCAGTGTTTGCATCTAGACATGCAGAATTTCCTTAAACTGTTGTGGAGCTATATAGATACTGCAGACTTAAGTTTGTACGTGTGCCAACCTTATTAACATCATCTGACCACTGATGTATGCAGATTTATATTGACATCTGATTCCTCAGATTGCTGGCTTATTTTTTTTATAGTGTCTTAACACTTGTGAGCTTGTGTTTGACTTAAGGGACATTTCGACAATGCTGTGAAGACACGTAGGTTATGAATTGAAGTCTGCTTTGTGCCATAGACAGTTTGGAATGCACAGATGCACCTGCTCTCTAGTTCTTTAAAGCTCACAGAATTTGTCCCCTACTTTGGATTTCTGCATCTTGTAATGCCAGTGAGAAAAGCACTTTGTGTTCATTTATTTGTATGTTTCGTAATTTCTTAAAAAAAAAAACAACCCTGTGTAATCAGTGATTTTAGCATTAGCATTACTTAGAAGGGAAGATAAGTAAGTATATGTTAAACTTGAATAGACGCTTGGACTCCAGGATATATTTGACATGTTCTCATTTTTCCAAAGACTTTTTCCCACCCGAAGAAGGGAGAGTAAACTAGTGGGAAGCTACAAGCCAGAAAGGCTTATGGGCAAAAGGAAGTGGGCCAAACCCTTGTGGGGTAAAACTACATTCTCTAGGGACAAGAATACTTCTTTAAAGACAGTTTTTTTTAAATAATTAGTAATTAAAAGGTTTACATTTCTTCTATTGATGTTGGTTTTAAAATTCAGCCTGCATTCTGAAATATTCTAGCAAAGTTAAAACCAAAAAAAAAATACTTTTAATGTCTAACATCTCTTTCATGTGGTTGTTTTTACTCATTGTAAATAAACTTGGATAAATTTTAAAATAAACTTTTATCTTACAAACTATGATTATCGATTTGTAAATTTACCCTTTGACTTAATGTAAATTTAAAATGTATCCATTAAATTCTCTATATTTAATGTATTATTTTCAGTAGATGTTTTTAATCTCAGTTGAATACTGGGCAGTGTATAATTATGTATATTTTTTGTTTCTTATCAATGTTGACTTTTTTGCACAGTTTCCGAACATTTAATTTGTACACTGATTTATATGACCAATACTTGTGGAGTGTCTGAGACTCGTGTGTGCATTGAACTACTGTCTTCGTGTTTGCACTCCTTCCCAAATGTAGCCCTCAGTTACTACGCTGCTGCAACAATTAGTAGGACCTTTTTGCTTTTGCAAAGTTACCTTGTGTGGTCTGTCTTTGTTGAGGAACTCAGGAGTTCAGTGTTGCATTCTAATTTTTTCCTGTATTCTGAATCAGTTCCTAGGTTGAAAGTATTCTGTATCAATAGATAAGTGTTTGTGTGGAGATGTCCTCTTTTCTGTGTGTAGGCACATGTATATATCTGAGTAAATTCTTATTTTCATTTCATTTCTACAATTTAAAGAACTTTATGATAAATATATGTAAAAGCTTTCTGAAAGATTATTTACTATAAATATATATACTATATTTTCATCTGGCTGGTCAAAATTATTTTTTAAATTTCAGTTTTAACCATTTAAGCATTTGTAGTTCCAGAATTGGATACAGATTTTGCTTAGAGTTCAGTTAAAATACTCTTGCAACTAACATCCTTTGGGGGGGGGGTGGGAGATTGTTAAAACATTAGTAAAATATACTGTCCACTGACATGGCCTTTGACCTCTCAGAGCTGTTAAAAATGTGAGAAACTAAATTGTCTTGAAGACATGTCAAGATTTTTATATTTCCATTACTTTAGACTTGTCCGGCTATTGTTTTTAACATTTCCTTATCTCCAAAGTTACTGAGCAAAGTTAGACAGTTTATGAGACAATGCTTTGACATACTGTGACTCTTCACAGTTGACTACCATTGTGTTAGGAAATCTCCAGATATTCTGTGTGTCTTCTATACTGTGCTGTGTGTTTTAAGCAACTGGCAGAAACAGTTGGAAATTAGGTTTCCCCTCTGACAATGTTACTGTATTCAATGTTCAATGGAAGCCTTCTAAAAGTGTGTGGTGTTATGAAATGATTTGTGTTAGGAATAAAGTCTACAGTTGAGGTTCACTATCAATCACTAAGCTTATTAGGGTGAAAGGAGCCCATGTGATTAGAACCTACCAGAAGCCGACACAGTGTAGTATGTACCACATTTCACACACACTTTGGGTTTGTTGTTCTTGTAAAAAATTGTGTAAAATTTCTTGAGTTTTATAATTTCTATGTATTTTTCCCTTGCTGGTAAATAGCTTTTAAAAAACTTAATATAAAAGAAACCATGTTTATATTTTGTTAGTGATAATGGATTTGTTTATATGTCAATTTTGTGTATTATTGACACATCTTTATTTAGATTTGTCATGCATGGAGGCCTGCAATATTTAGTACGGTGAGACATACTTTTTCTTTCCTGTTCATCTTTGGACGGATTGTGGTACAGAGGCTTACTTTCAGTAAACTTCTGGACTGTGGGATGGACATAAATGGTGGCACTTTGTTAATAAAGCTGGTATTTATTCCCACTGTGACTAGTGTGTGCAGATATGTTCTTTGACAGTGTGTTTATACAAGTTCCTTCTTGCTTGTTCTTTAGAACGCCTAGCAGTTACCTAGAAACTCTGTGTCTAACGCTGTAATGTTCATAAAGCCTCTTCAGTAGATCTTTGTGTGGACGTAATGATGCCCCGGATTGGATGTAATAGAGATTAAAAACACACACAGGGCGGGGAGATGGTTCAGTGGGTCACAGTGCTTGCCACCCATGCCTAGAGACCTGAATCCAATCCTCAGAATCCAAGTTGTCCTCTGACTACATTAAGAATTAAAACAGCGCTGGACGGTGGTGGCGCACGCCTTTAATCCCAGCACTCGGGAGGCAGAGGCAGGCGGATCTCTGTGAGTTCCAGGCCAGCCTGGATCGACAGCCTCCAAAACAATACAGAGAAACCCTGTCTGGTAAAAACCAAAAAATAAAACAGTAAAACAACCCAAGGCATCTGGTGAAAGAGATTCAGAGTAAGAAAAATACTTTATTCCAAGGGAAATAGAGGAAAATCCACGAAGGGGGTTTCAGATGCCTCTTCAAAAGCAAAGCTATGTGAAAGTCAGACAGTCCTATTCTTAGGGCAGTCCTACAGCCCTCATGAGCCTCAACTCCACTTGTGGGGTTTGGTGAGATAGTGATTCCTCCGATAGATGGGCCGGCAGAGGAGAGAATTCCCATTGTCACACTGTATGACTCCAAGCCTGGGGCCGTTTGTTTGGCATAAGGGGAGGTCCAGGGAGCAGCTGTGGCTGGACACTGACATAAACTGAAAGGCGCAGGCGCAGGAGGCTGACTAAGGGGAATGCACAGGGAGAGAGCTTTGCCTCCCAACAATAACCCTGGGGTTAGATAACAGCCTGAGGCCAGTGGGTACAATCAAATTCTGGAAGCCATCTATGGTTTGCCCTTCTGGAGTATAAGAAATCTGAAGTTCCAGGGATGCATTTGATAGCCACAGCCAAATCCCTCTAGCAGTATGATTAATAATACTTGAGAGGCTTTGAAAGTATGAATACAGGTCCTCCATCTGGAGTGGTCTCAGTGATGTGCTTGCTTCTACACACCCAATGAATGTAGGATTTTTGTTTTTCAGTCCCGGCCCCCGCCAGGGTATGATCTGGGAAGTGTCCAGAGGGTGAGAACCTGCTTAGCCCATAGAATGCAAAGCTGGGTGAGACCAGCAGAGACTTTCACTGCCCCGTGCATGCTTGGTGTGTGGGTGGGTGTGGGTGGTGTGGCTGTGTGCGTGCACGCTTAAGCTCTATTGCTTTCTTCATTTGTTCTCCGCCTATTGAGGCAGAGTCTCTCGTTTGAATTTGGTACCCATGATGTGGCTTACTCTAGGAGCCTACTGTCTGCTTCCTGCTTGTCCACATTAGAAGCAGGTTGTCACCTGCTTTTGTTTTTGTTTAGATTTACTTGTATGAACGTTTTGCTGAATGCATGTCCACCCCATGTGTGACAGGGGCCTGCAGAAGTCAGAAGAGAGCCTCAGATCCCATGGATTTAGAGATGGCCATGGGCCACCATGTGGGTGCTGGGAAGCAAACCACAAACTTCTGGAAGAGCAACACGTGCTCCCAGCTTTTACCTGGTTGTCCCCAGCTCTGAATGCGAGGGCTTCCTCGGGGTCATCTCCCCACACTCCCATTTCACTTTTATTTTTTAGCAACAGGTCGCTAAAACTAGAGATCACTGATTAGACTGGGGATCCAAAGTCAAGCCTTGGATGCCTATGCAGCAAGTCTCTTGCCCCCACTGTTACCTTCCCAGCTCTCTTTAAAGACATAACCCAGTCTTGTATTGCTTGCTTTTTTGTTAGCATAATGGGCTTCACCGTAACATTTTCATCCACATGGCATGATTTCTCATTTTCCTCCCTCTTCCCTCCAGGCCCCCCTTCTCACCGTCTTCTACTTGGTTATCTGAGTCCTGTTGCTGGAATCATGCCACCTGGGACATTTTATTATGGAACACCAAACAGACTTAGTACTGTCACTTACATCCGACTTGCCCCGAATCATCCTCCAAAGCTGAACCTTCCCTTCTGTAGTTACTGGAACCAAAAATCTTGAGTGTTTCTTTCTTCCTCCCCACTTTCCGTATCATCTCAGCAAATCCCACCCATTTTTTTTTCTCTCAAAACAAACACAGAATGAAACCAGGCTTCATGTCTTTTACTTAGAACTAGTCAAGGACCACTCTACTGCTATTTTTTGGAAACATGTAAACACGCATTTCAGGCTAACCTCAAACTATTAGGTAGCCAAGTGTTGCTCCGAACTTCTTCCTTGCCTCTACCTTCCAGGTGATGGGATTGCAGACGTGGTTTATGTGATGCTGGGGCTGGAACCTGCTAGATTGGGGGGGGGGGGGGGGAGCTTTTGCACCCACCCCACCCCAGCGCAGGCTGCTGACCAGAATTTAAAAACTCAAAACAGCTGACCGTGCCTACCGTCTCCCCTTTCCATTTCCTCCGTGCCTTGTTTTAGAGCCGGGCACTCGTCAAGGAGTCACAATCACCAAATTAGAAAGCACGTGGACAGCCTCCCTGGACGTGCGTGTCAGTCGCCTTGGGCTTCGGCGCACCCTTTCCTAAAGAACTGCCAGGCCGAGTTACCGTTCGCGTCCTCTTCGGCGGGCGGGGCGCCACCCCTCCCCACCCCGACCCGGAGCCAGCGCACTCAGGACGGCGGGGGCCCGGTTTATTTCCCCGGAAGCGACGTGTGTTCCCCGCGTCGGTCGTTTCGAACCGGACTTCCGGGTGTGGCGGCGGCCTCCACGGGGCGTCGTGAGCCACAGCCCCGGGGAGGGAGAGGCAGGCAGAGCTCCGAGCTGTGGGCCAGCCTGGACTACAGGGCAAGCAGGGAACCAACGCGGCCCAAGACACACTCGCCGAGCGAGCGGGGAGGACGCGCACCCCACTGCGGGTCCGCGGCTCCGCTCTTCCGGCCCAGAGCTTCAGAGGCGGGCGTTTCCGACCGTCCGGCGCCGTCTTTCCGGCACGGGCCGGAAGTCCCTCTGGAGGAGCTCCTCCGGGGCGTACGCGGCGCGCTGTGCGGTGGCAGTCTAGTCCCGGAGCCGTTATGGGCAAAAGAGACCGAGTAGACCGCGGTGAGGGCTCCTCGTGACGGTCGCAGTCCCCGGGTGTCCTCCGGTCGGCCGGGTCCGCGGTGCCGAGCCGGGCGGGAGGTGTGAGCGGGAGGCCGGGGCGCGGAGCGCGGTGCGGGAGAGCTTCCCGTCCCCGCTCGCCGGGCTCACTCCCGTGTCCTCCGTCGCAGACAAGAAAAAGTCCAAGAAGAGGCAGTATGAGGAGGAGGAGGAGGAGGACGACGACATGCCCGGGAACGACTCCCAGGAGGCGGTGCCGTCGGCCGCCGGGAAGCAGGTGGACGAGGCCGGCGGCACCAAGGTGGACGAGTACGGAGCCAAGGACTACAGGCTGCAGATGCCGCTCAAGGGCGACCACGCTTCCCGGCCCCTCTGGGTGGTAAGCGCGGCCGAAGAGTCCGGGTGGCGCCGGATCGTGGGCCCTCTCACGCCCCCAGAACACAAGGGGTCAGGAATGCTGCTGGGTTTGGTTTGGTTTGGGTTTTTCAAGACAGGGTTTGTCTGTGTCTCTTTGGAGGCTGTCCTGGAACTCGCTCTGTAGACCAGGCTGGCCTCGAACTCACAGAGATCCCGAGTACTGGGATTAAAGGCGTGCACCACCCACGCCCGGCTGAAATGCTGCTTTTTTTTCCCTCCCTTGGAGCAGCCGGTGTGACCCTGGCGCTCCCCAGTTCTCCCCAGCCCACCACGCACGGGCGAGCGCCGTGCGCCTAGCCTGTCCTAGCTAGCGTCATGGGCAGGCCAGGTAGCTCAGCAGGTCAACAGGGAGACCCGAGTCGGCCCCAGTACCCACGCGGTAGGGGGAGAGAACCGGCTCTGGCAGGTTGTTCCCCTGACCGTTGGAAGTGTGGCATGTTCGCGCTCACACACTCGCACGCACACACCACGTGCAAACAATCAATAAATGTGCTTATTCTTTGTGTGTGGGGGTGTGTGTGCACACGCTGTGCGGGTGTGCGCGTAGGGGTGCTTACAGCGCCCCTGATTGACGCCAGGAGGGTGTCTGCAATCACCCCTCACCCATTTGCCCAGCTCCCTCCTGTGGCTAGACTGGTTGGCCAGCGACCCCCTCCCCATCTGCCTGCCCGCACACCCACCCACCTCTTCCAGCCCGTGGTTATAGGCAATGCAACCCGGCTTCTTTGCAAGAGCCGCAGTGCTCCTGACCACTGAGCCCTCTCTTTGTCTCCCCCGTTCAAGTTAATGGAAGACATGTGTTTGCTAGCTGAGTCCCTACACTCATTTTCATTCTATCTAAAAGGCGATTTGAGAACAGTAAGTTAGGGAAGATTTCTGTATATGGGACATTTGGAAACCTTTTTTCTCTGCTCTTCTATGTCTAATTAAAGTAATAGGACCCTTAGGGCTGCCTGGCCAGCTCATCCTTCTTGATCATGATGTGGGCGCCTAGTGGTCTCTGCGGCTCGTTAATATTCTTGCCCGTTGTGTTCCCTTGATGCTTTCAGGCTCCTGACGGCCACATCTTTTTGGAAGCCTTCTCTCCAGTTTACAAATATGCTCAAGACTTCCTGGTGGCGATTGCCGAGCCAGTGTGCCGGCCTACTCATGTGCACGAGTACAAGCTGACCGCCTACTCCCTCTATGCAGCAGTCAGTGTGGGGCTGCAGACCAGTGACATCACTGAGTACCTCAGAAAGCTCAGTAAGACTGGGGTCCCCGATGGGATTATCCAGTTTATCAAGGTGAGTTGCTAGCAGCTCTAATTATCTTGATAATGTGGCTGTGGTGTATCTGGGTACTGTATTTTGCGTTGAAAATGCCTGGTTTGTGTCTCCTTTGGTAGCACAGTAGCTTATTGTCCAGCTGCTGCTGCTGCTGCTGCTGCTTTTGATCCAGCTGTGGTTCTGGCTG